GCTTTGTGGCATCGGACTGGGAGCTCTGTGCTGGCTTCAAGTACGGGAAAAGCTTCGAGTTACGTGCGGGAATATATTGGAGCAGTTACTGGAATGCGCCACGATGACATTTGGATGCACTGCTTGGCACGTGTTCGTCGAACTTAAAGGGCGCATGATATCCCCGTTGATCACGCAGATCGTACGTGTGCGACAAGAGAAGAATATCGTCGGTTGACCAAATCCCACCGCCTTGTCCGACAAACAGGATTCCGAGTGTCACCATCGTACAAAGTGCTTGACCGCGACTTTAAAATAGCCGTCTTCAACGACACAAAACGAGTCCAAGACGCCAGCCTGAGACAAAAACGGATGATGTCGCGGGAAGCTCAGCCAGGCAATATATGTCAGCCATCCTTTCGAAGCCCTTCATGTCTTGCCGGCTGTGACGGCTACGAAAGACTGGAACGCGATGCCCGACAGCCGAGTCTACAGGTTATTGCCTTTCAACAAAGAAACCTTATTGCACCGTTGAACAACCCGCAGCCCTACCGATTTCGTCAGTTTGGGCGCCGTCACATCCGCGAGGGAGGGATTGGTCCCGATGACCACGGCCGAGTTACACAAACGTGCTGATGGCCTATTTCGATATTGACAAGAAAGGCCCCGAGAGCTACTTACGCAAGTCCGCTGCTGAGTGGGGATCATCGGTTAATTCGGCTCTGTCAAGAGGATGCTTCGAAGAGGATTTCAAGGTGGTTTTGTAATACCGTTAGGCAAAGCAGCTGCCCGGAGCTACGTTACCTGCAGTAGGCGGCGGGCGGGCTTTGACGTTGGCGGGCCCATTTCAGGTCGCTGCGATTAAATCCTTTATTTTTTTTTTTTTTTCACCCGCAGCCGTTACAGATCTGCTAACATTTGTTAAGGCCCCAGCGATGGTCTCGATCTCAGGCAAATCTGCTAGCTGCTACCGAAAACGACGCGAGCGAAAAAAGTAAAGGGAACAGGCCCGTGTTTCTAACGAAAGATCAACAACGTCGTCTTCAAAGTGGAAACGCGGAGTCCCCTTGCCTCTGGGAAACTGCAAGGGCCCACGATTGGGAAAAGGTTATTTCATGTGCAGGGCTCTTTTTCTCGGAAACTGTGTGAGACATTTCTGCTTCGAGCATCTCCCAGACCCAATTCGAGCATGGTCCGCTTGCCGATCTTAAATTTTCTTCTCCGGATTTCTGAGACAACTCGATAAGGGCCAATCGTCGATTATCGAGGTTTTGCTAGTGCCGATTTCTTGAGGAGAGGACTTCGGTTCATCGTCCGCTCATTCGTCGACATTTTTGCTTTTTTGCTGAGACATTTGGACTTGGCAGGGAAGATACTGCAATTGGAGGGACAACCCTGCGCTACGGTAGATTTTCTCTCGCTATGTGGAGAGTGTGAAAGCTGGATTCGCCCAGCTACGACTTTCTCAATGTCAACTTGCTCGACTTGCCGCGGAATCCCTCTACCGAGACAAAGAGTATCAAAGTTGCCTCGAGACTGGTGAAAGCCTTCTGGAAACGTTTTCTCCGACACTGGTTACCCCTCGTCCCGCTATAGATTCTTTCCTCCATTTCGATTCGGAACCAGCGCGGGACTGGGAGCTTGTCTCGGGACTAATTCCTCCCTTGCCTTTGCGTAGACAAAACAGGTAATATGGGTGAGTCAAAGATTTTCATCGCTAGATAGTGCAAGAAGCAAAGACAATCCCGGCGGGAATTGAGCACAGAGACAATCGTCAGCGCAGCGATGTCTTGTGTCTCCACTGACTTTGCTCGGGAGGGTCGTGGAACGGATGACACCCGCAATCCTCTTTCGACGTCTTGTGACTATTTTGACAGGAGTAATCTACTTTGGTGCTTTGAGCTATCGGGTTGCTGAGTCGACATAGATTCCATCTCAATAGGTTCCGTATAGTCGGGGCGACAATGTCTTTGCAACATCGGCTGTTTTCCTTCTTCCGATGTAGTTTGTGAGAAGTGGTCGAAAAGAGGTTATACTAGAATATCAATCTATGTGGATTTCAATGAGTTGTACGGGTAACACATCTGTGCTCGGACATGTGATCCCAGCGCGCATGGCCGAAGGGTTTCTCTCGCGTAGCCTGGCAATCTTGACGAAATTCCTATGGTTAGCATAGGTCAGGATCTTAAGTCTATCTAATTACCTTGTCTTGATTACTCTAGCCTGAGTTGCTTCAGTGGACAACAGGTATCATTATCAAAAGCGTATTGTCTAACTCTCCGGGTTCGAAATCGTGTGCAGGTATGTGACGGTGGACAAACTTTTGCGATATTAGATTATCAGATTACAGAGGGAATTAATCGAGCCTTTATAACGTCAGTCCTAGCAGCCAACCGAGTCGAGTACATATACTAAGAACGAGATGTTTTCATGGACTGACCATTTATCAAAATAGCACCCAGAATTCGTCATATTTACTTTTCTAACATGAACACCCTGATTCTGAAGAAACCCACGAACGACATCTAACAACTTTGAGACAATCTGACATCAGACAAGAAACATAGAAGATCTAGAGAAGGCAGAAGAATGCTGTGATATCAACCCAGCAGGAAAGTTTCTCCCCCAAGCAAAGCATCCCATCCCCCCTTTTGGGAAAGCCCAACACTTTCCACCACTTTACGCGCACGCAGCAGTCGCAGCAGCAGTGGCAGTAGCAGCCGGCGCACCGCCGCTGAAAGCACCAGTACCGCTCGGCATTCCACCGCTGGGCATGTCACCGCTGAGCCCACCATCCGACTCCCCCTCGACCGCAACGCCGCCCGCCTCGGTCAACTCGAAATCGTAGCTGGTCTCGTAGGAAGCGGAGCGGTTGACGCCGATGGTGATCCAGCCGAACAGTCCGTCGGCGACGTCGTCGCCCAGGTAGGCGTAGTCGAAGAAGGGGTCCGAGTCGGCGTTGGAGCCCAGCTGGCTCGTGACGACGTGGTCGTCCGCGTTGAGGGTCACGTCGACGGTGTTGAGGGTGTAGGGGTAGAGGGACTCGACCTCGGTGATGAGGTCTTGGTCCCAGAAGAGCTGGCCGATGTGGGCTGCGTGGGAGGAGGAGAGGGTGTTGTTCGGGAGGACTGTTGCGTCGAGGAAGGCGACCTGTTGTTGGGTGTGTTAGTCAGGGTCTCTTTCAGGTGTAAAATAGGGGCTATAGGTGTCGCTGTCTGGAGAGAGGACTTACCATGTGGTGATGCGTGGCGCGGCCATCATAGTGACCAGGGAACTTGGTCGTGAACTGCACCACACCATCCGCATCCGTCTTCTGAATCCCGCGAAGGAACGCCTTATCCAAGTTACTCGCGTCATTCACATCCCCGTTCATGGAGCTCTGCACGCCAGAGTAGACGCCCGTAGCATTGCAGTTCCACAGATCCCAGTACAAATCCGTAATGGGCTCGCACGTCTCGACATCGATGAACTGCCCGTCGAGAACGACGTCCACGCCCTCCTGGTCGTCGCGCAGGTCGGAGCGGAGGTGCTCGCCCTTTACCCAAAAGGGGCCGATCTCGCCCTCCGGGTCGAGGATGCAGGTGTGGTTGGAGCCGAAGAGGTCCGCGGACGCGGCGGAGGTGTCGATGCCGACGTGCGAGGAGGTGAGGTTGTGGCCCACGCCCGCGCTGTCGGTGGCGCGCTTGCGGATGGCGCGGTGGTAGGCGATGGCGTCGGCGCGGCGGACGAGGGCGCGGGCTTGGAGGTCGCGGTAGACCTTTGACGAGGAGCAGGCTTCGAGGCCGCGGCGGGCGAGGCCGTGGTGGGCGTGGCGGGAGGCGAGGAGGGAGGGGTGGGTTTCTTCGTGGTGGCCTGGGTGGGCGGTGCCGAGGAGGGCGGAGGTGAGGACGAGGAGGACGGCGGGATGCATTGTTGGTCGTTGTTGTCTTTGGGGAGAAAGAGTGGTGGTTTTGTTGTATAAGTGAGTGAAATGAGTTAGTGGGAGTTGTGAAACTGTGAAAGAAAGTACGGGATTGGGAAAGATAGTTCTGTGTGATATCTTCTCAGTGCTTGGATTGCTGATGTTCTATTCTATTTTTCTCTTGTCGAGGGCGATTCGACGTTCCTTATATGTTTCCATCTTGTTCAAGAGGCCTGTCTTTCCTTTTCCGTTGTCTCCCACTTTGGCGATGCTTGCTTCTGCGTTGTTCGCCCAGTCGTCACCCGTCGTCGTCACGTACATCGTCACTACCATTCCGCTACCGTCGAAGCAAAAGTTCATCCACTCCTCCAGAGTGGACTTTGAGAACCTTGCCATGTTCCGGATGAACTCCCGCCACATAGGAAGCGAAACAAAAAGAACACTGCCCTTTCCTGACGTTTGCAGATCTCCACGTTTCCCCCCCTTTCGCAAAAAAGCATACGCACATAGCCCATGGTCCACATCCTAAATCGACCTCACTGCTTACCTTGACTTACACACCGCAGGATATGTTCAGACGGAGCCACGACCATGTTGGCCAACAAGCTCACATGCTTAGCCATCACAACCACGCTTTTAGACGGGGAGACAGGGACGGGAACAAACGTCACCCTACCCCTTAGAAGTCTTGGCAGGAGGGCTGGACTGTGCAAGGAATCTCGCATCGTGAGAGCGTTACCGCGTACTCGAGCATATTATTCGATCCCACCTTGTATATGAAGTACATGTTGACATGGGTTCCTCCCGGAGCCACCCACCTCACCTGGAGAGAATTACCATCACAGAACCGCTGATTGGCCACATCGCACTTGAAATGTTTGGGCAGTGATGGACTTTTCGGATCCGAAGTGAGGTAATAGTCGAATCGACAGCCGGCGCTCTGCCGGAGGCTTGTAGTCGGGAAATGTGGGGTAGACTGTGGAGGGGCGGGAAGGGGGGAGGCAGCGGCCGGCATGTGGGAGCCGTGGCCCGTCACGAACAAGCTCTACAGAAGTACTCCGTAGAAGAGCCCAAACAACGAATAGGGAGCCTCATTACACGCGTCCTTGTGGTCATTATACTCTGTGATACAGTGTTCGGGCATTTTTGTTAGATTCGGGGTCCGACGATACCGCGGAATCCATGGAGTCCATGGGTGGTATGGACCCAGCATCTTGTTTCTAGCGCAATTCTTCTCTCTCTTAAGGAATCTGTTTCCACCTTCGATCGCCGGAACGCTAGCCCTACGCTGTGGGTCGAGTGCGAGGACCCATAAGAATTACAGGGCCCCTCGTTCTCCATGCGGAACCATGCGGACTGTATGCCTCCATCATTCTCTACCTTAAGGCAGGGGGGATTGCGGACTACGGACTACAGACTACGAATACACTTATGCCTTGGTCTTTTCCCTCCGCTTCTCAATCTTTGCAAGCTCCGCATCAATCTTTTTGAAACTCCAGCTCTTCCAGAAGGGGGGATACAAGAAGGGTCGGAGGTCGAATCTATTGTCGTCGGGTGCTATTATCGACCAGTCAGTGACTTACTAAACCGGGGGAAAAGAAAGCAAAGTGGGTTGCGGTGTGCTGCCATACAGTAGTCATTGCAGTGAAGAGCCGGTGTAAGCGTCGTCATCTTGTGTCCTGTTCACCCAAGTTAGAACCACCAGACGGCAATCGTCTCTCAAGGCAGGAATAACTCACGGTTGATGGCATAAAAGTGGAAAAACTTCTTGACCTTGTCGGCCGTCTGGCTAGGCTCGTACGCAGGAGCATCATCATCGGGACCACGCTTGCGGTCGACGCTCCAGTCGTGGACAAGGCGTTGGAACATGCCATACGGGCCAAGCTTGTTCACCTTGCGGAGGCGGCCCATGATGGTCAGCTCTTGATAGGTCATGCCCATGTCCACCTCGTCGCTCTGTACATAGGTCTCTGAGATTGGTTCCTACAATGCGATCGTGATCACGTAAGTCAGGCTGTTTGTCCCCGCAAAGTCTTTTTCTTGTCAAGACAAGGGAGGATGCTGGCGCATGAGTTGAGCCGCAGCTCTTGCGCGTTCAGCGGGCGGGACTTGAGGGGCTGGCGGGTATGTCACGTACAAGCTCTGCGGTCGGGACCGCCGTTAGGAAGTCGTGGAGACATGGGATGTTGAAGTCCTTTTCGGCCCACGCGATGAAGCGTTTGAGGTCGGCTTTGTCGATGGAGCCAATCGGGTTGATATCCGCACCTAGATTTTATGTGTTAGTCAGGCATGGAGTTAAGGTAGACTTCCTCCGATGCTGTAGAGTCGTCATGCAGTCCTTGCTCCCCTGCTGGTACTGGCAATGATACCAGGGCATAGGCAGGTGGTGGGACACCGGTACAGTTGGACAGCAAGTAGACGGACTAGTCCAGACTCCTCTTAAAGTGATGTGGGGTACTAGCTCCCGTGAATAGAATGTAGCGGGAATGAAAGCTTACTGGAACAATCATATCTAGAAACTAGTCAGTATGAGTCAATCCCTGTCGTCAAATTTGGATTACTTACTTGGTAAAGTAGCCTCTGAGGGACTGTGGCAGTCGTTAGATGACAGCAAAGCGGAGATGGACGTGGGTATCAAAGCAAAGCAAACGCACCTCTCCGACATTTGCACTACCCAAAACAAGCAGACCTCCACCACCAGGTCGTCCGCGGGCCGTGGGAAGAAGCTGTCCAAACTCGTACGCGGTCACCATGCGGATTCTCGCCTGGATGCATTGCAGCGTCAGGTTCTCCTGGTTCGTCCCGCCCTCGACTTTGAACCTCGGCTGAAAGTTGAGTGCCGTGACGGCGAGGCTCTTTTGGGCGTTGTAGACGTCGTCAATGTCGAGGTTAATGTGGTAGCTGCCAATGGCCTCGGCGAGGTCCTTGGCGCGCTGACGCGTCTCGACGGAGCTCTGCGTCTTCATGCCCATGTAGATGGTTGAGAAGATTTGGTTGCAGAGGGCCTGGGGCGTCTTGGGGAGCACGCCTTCGCCGTCGTACTTTGCCAGGCGCTTGACGTCCTCGATTACCTGGGCGTTGCCCTCCTCGATGGCCTTCATTACGATGCGACACATGGAGAAGACGATTGCTGTGAAAGGGGTGTCAGTGGCGACTGAATAGGGGTAATTGGCGAAGAGAGAGAGAGGCGTACTCGCTGTGGCGCAAGAGTCGATTCCTCCACTCAGGGGTACCAAGTAACCTGCAGTTCCGGATCTGCGGAGGTACTAATAGGGGGAGTTGGGTCAGCCGGGCATATAGAAAAGGGGTACTTGGTCCAACTCACATCCCAGAGGTAGCAGCCAGCGCACAGAGCAATCTCTTCCTCAACCGAGTAGTACTTGGGCTTGATAGGGGGCGAAGGGATGATCATGATATCCGCGTCTTCGTCCTCGGAGCTGAGCTCGAAAGCAGTCTGGATCCGCTGATACTTGGCATCAGATCGCGCAGCCTGGAGACCGCGAGAGATGGCCGAGCGGTAAGCACGAACTTCTTCAAGATCGACAGTGGCCGTGACGACCTCGACATCGTTCAGGCTGAATTGCGAACCCTGGGCCACGACGTCTCCGTTCACCAAGATCATGGCGGAGCCGTCGTAGTACAGCCTGTCGCCGTCACAACCTTGTTGGTTGGCGTAGAGGTACACGCCGCCGCACTTGCGCGTAGCTTCCATGATTAGCTGGAGACGGGTGTCGAGCTTCTGCAGGGTGAAGTGTGAGCCGCTGGAGTTGGTGATGATCTCCACGCCGTCGAGGCTCATTGCGATGTGCGGGGCGTTGGGCGTGAAGAGCTCTTCCTGTGGGCGAGTGTGTCAGCTCATTTTCCATGGACACCGAGGCAATGAACCGCCGTGGCCTCTGACGAACTTACACAGGTCTCTGCTCCAAAGCACGTATCGGGAGTGGAAACCACGGCGTCGCCAAAGATGACGTGGGTAGACCCCTGGATATCCTGGAGGATCCGGGGCAGATGGTACTCCTCCGTCTGTCTGGGATGCATCCAGGGCGTGAAGTGGCGCATCTCGCGGTAGTTACCATCGTTAGCGAGCCACATCTTGGGCCTAATCATGAGGATCTTGCCGTCAAGGCAGAGGACCCGGCAGTTGAAGCGTTGGTTGCGGTGCTGCACGGGCATGCCGATGTCGAGGAGAATGCCGTGGCAGGTCTCGTCGAGCAGGATGCGACGGAGCATCTCGAAACAGTGCAGGTAGAGGTCCTGCTCGAGGAGGTGGTCGAGACATCCGTAGCCGCATATCTCCAGTTCCTGCAGTGGTGTAAGACTCTAGCGCATCCTTGCAATTGTCCTTGCTCGTGCTGTATCGCAGTTGGAGCTTCACAATACTTACGGGACCGACACGCAGGCGAGCTCCAGCTGCCTTTGCCTTTTGAATACTCTCAACAATTCGAGCAGCATTTCCTTCCCACTATATGTGATCCCGGTCAGCATCTGCCTCCTAAACATAGATGAGGGGTCGCATGAATGCCACTTCATCTATGTTAGTTGCGCAAAGCTTACGTCCAATGCCCACTGGTTCAGCGAACAAGTCGCAACAGTGATGAGATGTCCCATATTGACCAGCTCGAGTTATCTGGACACAACGACGTGTTAGTTGTCTCCTCAAAGTTGACAAGAGACTTTGCGACGCATGGCATCTTACCTTTAGTGCACCTGCACGAACTTGGCGGTAGTCAGTATAAGAGTAAATCACCGCGGGGTATGAGATGAGTCATCTGAGGGTCGGATGAATTCACTGTGCCTCTGTTTGTTGGGGAGAGGCCTTGAGAAGTTATAAACATACCCACAGTCTTGTCCCTGACGTTGAAAAGACCTCAATGCCCTTCTGAAGCAACTTACTCGGAGAAGTCTCGGATAGGTGGAAGCTTAGAATGGCTTGAGACGAACAAGAGCTTTGAGCGGGAAGCGTTGAACCCCTCGTGCGCTATCGGATGTTAGCAACACGGCACCGGGTACCCGGCCGCCCTAACGCCGCTTATCTGTCGTGGAGTGACTTCTCTCCAGACCTTGTCGCTAATACGACAACTTCAGTCTCGTGTCTAATGCAAATTTTATGAAACACCTCAAATTATGATAAATAGTTGATCAATTGACTTGCTCAGAAAAAAGTCACCATCAAAGTCGTCTGAAGCTGTTCATACGTCTCACATGAAAGACAAGAAGAGAGAGATACGCAGGGCGGCAGGGTATCTACATCGAACCCCTGCCAGTACCCCCGGCCGTGGAACCCAAGCACTGACAATCCGGCGCCGCTGCGTTGGCTGCCACACATGCTGGCCAGTGACACACGCCGCTGACAATCGGCCGAGCTCTCCTCTCTTCCAAACCTGCCCCGGCACCCATATCGCCTCGGCTCAAAAAACATCCCAACCACGGGCCCGGCTGTACCTGTACCTGAACCTCACGACCTCACTACCTTTACCAATCCCGCGATACCCTCAACGAACAAACGCCTTTGCGACTCTGATCTTCCCTCACTCAGAGCGCACACGAAGCATTCCTCATAAAACCCACGCAAGACAACAATCGGATTAACAACACACCTCAACCGCGCGCACGCAGCGCAAATGCACAACACCTCTCCAGAATGACCTCCCCATCACCATCACAACCATCCTCCTCCTCCGCGCCATCGACCCTCCCCTCCTCACCCTACCCCTACGCCTCCGCCCCAGACATCATCCGCGCCCACCAGAAAGACGCCTACTACAAAGGCCACCTCTCAAACACCCTCACCTCCCTCCACCGCCTCCTCCTCGGCGCCCGCTCCGCCCACTCGGCCACCGCCCTCCACAGGCTCCTCGCAGACACCCTCTACCTCGGCCTCACCACCCTCCCCGGCAACCGCACCCTCGGCGAGGAATACTGCGACCTCGTCCAGCTCCACGTCGGCGCCGCCGGCGACGACACCGACGACCCCTCCGGCGCCCTCCCCACCTTAGCCCGCCGCGCATCCTACATCGCGACATCCGTCCTCCTCCCCTACGTCGCAGGCCGCGCCCTCCCCACCCTCCGCGCCCGCCTCCGAACCCTCCTCGAGCCGTCCTCCAAAACAAAAACTTCAAAAAACCAGACATCCAGAAAGGACGCAATAAAAGCCTACCTCGCCACGAACCTCCCCTCCCTCACCTCCGCGGCGCCCATCCACGCAGCGACCCTCGCAATCTTCTACTTCACGGGCACCTACTACGAGCTCGCCAAACGCGTCCTCGGCCTCCGCTACGTCTTCACCCGCCGCGTCCCCGACTCCCCCGACCGCGCGGGCTACGAGGTCCTCGGCGTCCTCCTCGTCGCCCAGCTCGCCGTGCAATCCTACCTGCACATCCGCTCCACAATCTCCGACGCCGCCGCCGCCGCGGCGGCAGCAGCAGCGCGCATGCGGTCCAACAGCTCCTTGCTAGACGTCTCCCTCGACGCAAACGCCTACGCCGCAAACACGGGTCTCCTCCTCACGGAAACAGGAACGCCAGGCGGCAACGGCGCAGGGGGCAGCAAAGTCGACATCTCGGCCGTCACACACACGCCCGTGATCCCCTCGGCAGACGCCTCCAGCGAACCCGGCGCACGCTTTGATTTAAGCGACGAGAAGACAATGGCCTACATCTCGGGCGCCGCGCAGCGGAAATGCACACTCTGCCTCGAGGAGCTCAAGGACCCGTCCGCCACGCAGTGCGGACACGTGTTTTGCTGGACGTGCATCGGGGACTGGGTACGCGAGAAGCCAGAGTGTCCGCTGTGTAGACGGGAGGCTATGGTGCAGCATATCCTACCGCTGCGGATTGCTTGACTTCGAGACGATGGGCCGTGGTGTGATTGTGATGTCAGGGGTGATGCTTTGTAGATGTGATCATCATGTTTTAAACTTTGGTTACACAGCACTTTCCCGGCCGACAGGAATTTGATGGAGTGAGGAGGGGCGTTGTGGCATTTGTATACCTACGAAATTCTATTGATAATGGACACACAGGCTCAAGGGGGGGAACCTCTGATGAACGACCAAAAAGGGCAAAGCATTTGGCGTTACCAAATTTTTGTACGAAGGCAAAGAAGATGAACAAAGATATAAATATATATACCAAAGAACTGATGCCACGCCAACTTCGACTCTCCCCTCTTTCCCTCTCTTCTTCTCCCCCATCATCATTAAAAATCTCCTTCAACACAGCCAGAGAGAAAATCAGACATAAAGAGGAAGAAATAACTTTCGAATTTACCTAATCGAAGCCTCAATCGTCCTATACACGCCCAAATGGCTCGGTGAAAGGCTCGAAGACCAGCTAAGAGCACGTGGGTGTGGGTTAAACGAAGAATGCGACGATAGCGGTATTTCAGAAGAAGTGGGAATCAGATAAAGGAGACCGACGCATCGACCCGAAAAAGTAGAGTAATATCCGATATTTCACGGCCAACCCCCCCCTTGCCTTTCTCCCTTGGCCCCGTTTCCCATCCAGGGCCATTGATGGTTTCCGATCCATCTTGTAGGTATCATGTGCCAGAGTTGCCTAGCATGGGAATATGAAACAAGAAGTAGAAGAAAAAAAAACAAGAAAAAAAAAGCAACAAAAAATGACGCTCGATAACTCCGTTGTCCTTTATGAGTTTACCCCTTGGATATCCCGTCCGAGCCGTAGAGCGGCTAACCCCTCGAGAAGAACAGCATGATTGTGTACACATCGACCATCAGATTCAAGCCTGAAAAAGTACAATCTCGCCGCGGTCGTTACGCCTCATGCGCAGCGAGCGCCAGAGCTCCTTCTCTTCCGAAAGCTTGCCGAGGCCGTCCCCAGAGGAACTGCGCTCGCGGTGGAAGCGCTTGAGGGCCTTGTTCATACTGCAGCCGCGCTCGCTCTCGGGGCCCTTGTTGATAAAAGACAGAAACAGGTCGGCACGCGGGCGGTAGACAACCATCTGGCCCTCGTCGTCTCCGTCCTCGCCCTTCTTACTGTCGCGGGAACCAGGTCGGTACTCTATCAACTTGGGAGCTTTCTCGCCGTCTGATCGGTGGCGGCTGGATGAGGAGTGCTTCTTGGTGGATGAGGAGACCTTGCGCTTCTTAGTCTTGGACTTGGTGCCGTTCATGTTCAAGAGACCCATGAGGTTGCTGCCGATGCCGCCCTCCTTCTTGTGCTTGGAAGACTTGGTCTTCTTGAGCGGGCTGGCCGGTGAAGGATCGGCAACGTCGCCTCCGGAGTAGTCTGGCGAAGGAGGGAAAACGGGGCGCGACATCATGCGGTTCAGACCGCCCGTCAGACCAGAGTGAGCCAAGGTTGTAGGAGGTGCGTCGGTCATCATTTGGTCAGTGTCGACATGGAGACGCTTGCGCTTCTTGTCCTTCTTTTCGCTTCCATCCTTCCTTCTCCGTTCGTGCTTGGAAGCCGGAGTCTCGAAGCCCTGGGGAATGGCGCCAGTGCCGTACTGTACGAGGGCGCCCGGGTCCTCGTCAACCATTGCTCCCTCGTCGTCCAGATAGGCCTCGGCCTCATACTCGTAGCGCACCAGCTGTGTCTCCTCGTTCGGCTCCTTGGCACCTAGGGCAGACGCATTCGGCGTCGCTGAGGGGTCAAGAAAGTCGAAGACGTTGACGTGACCCTCGGCAGCTGAGGGAGGTGTTGGCGCTTCGGGGAGAAGGTCGGCGGGGGAGTTGGCATTGTCGCTGGCCTCGTAGGGGAAAGTTTCGAACTCGGCATCGGGAACGTCCTCAACGTATGCGTGTTGAGCCATGTCGTGCTGAGGGGCGAACGCCTGGTTGTTGTTCGTCTTGCTCTTCTTGTTGTTGCTCTTTTCCTTGTAGAGAGCACCTTGGTATTTCTGGGCCTCGCTCATACAACTCTATTCGCCGCCCGAGTCAGTGCCATGGTTCATACAAGTGACTACAACAGCCAGTGGGAGCTGATGCTACTAACCGTGTGGCTGCGATATTCAGTTCCAGGAAAGTAGACCATGCAATCGATGCAGGTGTAAGTGGCGCCTCGACAACGGTTTCTGTGGGGGTCGAGCTTCTTCTTGGTCATAACATCACCACAGTTCTGTGGTGGAGGAAGAAGGAGACAGGTCAGTTATGTTGCGCAGCAAGTATTCGAGAGGTTATTGGATTTTGTTAGGTTTAGAGAGGGGTGTATGGTAGGTATTGTATGGATTTGGTCTGGGAGGCGAGGGAGGGACGGGACGAGACACTGGCTATTAAAGACAGCATCCAAAGGGGAAGTGGAGGGGGGTTTGTTTCTGTAGTTGGAGGGGTGTGTGTCTGCGATGTCTTGCCATGTGTGGGAGGTGTGGTAGGTGTGGTGTGAGGATGTGATGTCAGGCCCCCGAGTTTATAATAAGACGACATGGGGATCTTCGGAAGGGGGGGGGGGGGCAAGTATGTACGGAATGAGAGTAAAGGGGGACCCTGGAAGAAGGGATTATGGGGAAGGAGAATGGAAGGAAGAGAGAGATACGGAACGGGAGAAAGAGGGCGGCGACGGCTTACCTCACACGAAAAGGACACCATGGTGAAGGGAGCGACGCTGTATGATGATGTGTTGGCCTTGCGATGGGAGTGTCTATTGGGCGCGAGGGTTGGGCAGAGAACGGTTCTGACTGGGTCGCGGTTTTTGACGGAGGTGAAATGGGGGGTCGACGATGTGGGAGGCGACGAGTGCGAGCGTCAGTTTCTTTTTGGTTGGCGGTTCTGGACGGTGGTGTAGGTATGTCGTTTGTGGATTTGCAGGATGCAGAAGCAAGGACGTCGCCTTACTGGCCGGACTGATGGGCTCGGGGGATCGTCGAGAAGTGGACTGCAATGCAAGCCGGGACGTGCCTTGTAACCAGGAGAGAGGGGACAGGGCAGAAGGAGACCAAGATGGGACTCTTTTTTTCGGGAGGATTTGGGGAAGAGAGTCCAAGAGTCTGAGAGCTTTAAAAAGCGGAGTGGTGAGACGTTGGCAGTCCGTCGCGGCTGTGCGAGAGACTAGTGTAGCGGGTTTGATAGACACAGCCCGAGAGGTGGGTGTTGGTATGAGTGAGAGTGAGAGTGAGATGAGTTGATGAGGTGCTTGGTCGTGGGTGTGTGTTTGTGGAGTGAGTGAGCTGGATGGGAATGAGAATGAGAATAGAGAGATAGATGGCGAGATGACGGGGTCTCTCAGTCTCTCGGCTTGGTCGGGGAAGTGAGTGAGCACTGAAAAGAAGGAGACCAAAAGGTTCAAACTTCAGAGTTCAGCTTTGAGATGTCAGGGGCTCCTCTCCGTGTTGGTTTCGCGTCTCAAATACGCAGCTGTGCCGTCGATCTCCAATGTTGGAATCCCTTATTTGGAGGGGTCCAAGGGGGCGTTTGGCCGGCAGGGGTGGCAGGGGGAATGGAGGGGTGAAGTGTGGTGTTTCGCGCTTCAGGTTTGTGTTGGAAAAGTAATAAAGAGAGGCCGATGGCAGACTCGGACTCAGTGAGAGTGAGAGTGTGTGAGTGAGATTGAGAGCGAGACGGGAAAAGGTGTGACGAGGAACGGGCAGCAGGAACGCAACACAATTTTGTCTGTTCCCGAGAAGGAAGCAGCTGATCCAGAAACGGTCCGTAGCAATGGAGCGGCAAGAGCGCAAGAAGCGACTAGTGACTGCAAAATTCCTGAACCTCTGCTGAATGAGTTCAATTTGAGAAGGTTTGAGCTGAACTGGGGGCCCAGAGTTTGGTTCGCGCGGGAGTGTTGTGTTGTGGTGGTTATGGGTTTTTTTTTTGTTTTGGCGGGCAGAGGCGATGGGCGAGCTGATGGATGGTGGCGTGCCGAATCGAGGGGCAATGGCGCAGAGACTTTTGGTCCAAAAGTTACTCAAATGGCAGGATGGCGGCCGTGCTGTGAATTATTGGATTAAATGCTGAGATTACTTTGATCTCTCTATCGTCCGAACCGAAAGAAAGCTTTGCGCGCTGAACAGCTTGATTCTTGGGGTCTACGGATGAAGTTGGGAGAAGAAAAAAATTATCAGGTCAGATAGAGATAAGCGTAGGTGGTTGAGAGAGAGAGCTGGCTGCACTGCAAATTCTACCTAACGCAAACAAAGTGGAATCGGCCGAAACTTTTCGCAGTGAACTTTTTCTTTACTTTTTTTCTTCTTCCTTCTCCCACTACCCTGCCCTTTCGTCCCTTTCGGATTTGGGCCCCTCCTCAGATTCTTTTGCGCGTGGGGACTTGGGGACTGGAGACTGGAGTGCATCTCTCGGAGAGACTGACGGTCTGTCAGGTTGGGCAGCTTGACATGTTGTTTCTAGTCACACGCCCATCCCCTCCACCGTTGACAGGCGGTATCCCAGGGGAACCAAGGTCATTCGGCACATTCAATGGTCTCGAGTGGTCCATTGGATCCCAAACTCAGCTGATGCGCCTCTGCCATTGGCTTGGACTCTGATAGCAGATCATGCCCAGTAACCCAATCATGATCAATGACTCCGGGACGGTGGGGGTGGTTACATCCGTCCGCCTCATTTCAGTCTCCTGCGAGACGACAGACGCTGGGCGAATCTGTATTCTGGAGATGTTCACTGCAAATTGCAGTCCTTCACCCTAACTCCCTGATGGTGGTTGTGTAGGGCCGTAGACACTCCGTAAAGTCCCATCTCAATGCTGCGATGTCGCTGGAAAGTCTCTTCAGATTCTGCAGCTGTAGACCGCCCCCCATTTCTTCATAAGGCGAGACCAGGTGGAAATAGGAACGTGGATATGCAAAGCTAAGGGCCTACTTAGCCTGTGGGTTCACCGTATCGCCGCAAATCTGCTAACAACGGGACTCTAGCTGCTTCTGCCCTGAACCTACGCAGGCACCATCACATCACTACCTCCCTCACCTCGCAGTGACGCGTAGTACGCCATGCATCGCCGTTCGGCCTTATATCGTGAACTAGGAAGTGCGCGGCTTCGCATGGGTGTGGACTTTGAAGTATTCGTATACTGCGGTAGACATCGCCAGTAAGGGAACATGGAACCGACATGGCGGGGCTGCTGATCTCGGGCGGTAGCGTAGTCTCGGGTCGCCAGAGATGGCCTGTCTTTCACTCTCCCCGTTCCCGCCCTGCCGCGGTTTCACGGGAGGTGATGAGAACCTTGCTTAGCAGACGACGACGACGACTCAGGGGCCGAGAAGTCCAAGGGAAGAGTTGGTGCTTCTGGCACTGCTTCTATTCTGGGCATATTGGTAGAGTAAAGAGCTTCTGCATCTTCATCCATGACCAGGGGTATTCAGCACGGCCACGGAATCCCCTTCAACCTTGCGTCTTGCTGCTGTTCTGACTCCTACGGACAAGCCAGCATCATGCAAGACCAGGCAAGGCCGGGGGTCGGACGAGACCAAAGTCACCAAACGACGAGTGCCTGCCCCTATCCGTCTAGAAGGCATTGGATGCTGCCGCGAATCAAAGGAGATGACGACGACAGTCCCAGAACAACGGAACGGCTGCTGCCGCCGCGTTGGGCCTTGACCTAGCATTTTCCACAGGGCCGTCACATCGCCCTCTGGTACGTTGATTAGCGGGCTGCATGACGGGCCCCCAGCTGCAGTGCATCGCCAATTTGCCCAAATGAGATGCATTTTCAGCGCCCTCCAAAGCGCGCGTCTAAGTTGACGAGGGATCCAACGACCGCCGCTGCTGACAAGTTGGTCAATGGCATCTGCGGCTGTGTGCTTGTAGCTTCCGCTGCTGCATGAACGACAACTTGCGTAGGCAGTAGAAGGGCTTTTCATGATCCTGTTCTTTGGGGAAGCTCCGTGACTTTTGCTGCTTGTAATATATTGTAGCGCCTGATCTTTACCAAATAAATGGATCGCTTGCCGCTTACTGGAGATCCTTCGTCGTTGCTTTTGCTTTTCCCTTTGCGTTGGGGCTGTCTCCTGCACACGCCCCTGGCCCCCGGCGTCTCTGGGCAGTAAAGTGATGCAAGGCATTGAATCGTGGGTTCCGACGTGATCGTGGTACTGTATCCGTAGAGGGGCCGAGATGTGGATGTTGGAATGACTTGCAGAGCTTTCCATTGCACGGCATGTCTGTCTGCTCTGCATGTAATGTGAGGCGGAAACGAATGGGAAAGCCCAGGTTTAACGCTGCAGTCGCAGAGATCCTTTCCATTCGCCAAGAACCACATCAAGTCATTCCACGCCAGCAATCCGAATGGATAGACGGTATCAACTGAACACCGAGGGCTTAAGGAGTCCGAAGCCCGCCGGAAGGACGCCAAGCTGGACCTCAAGCTCAGAGGTCAAAGTCGAACCTTGGACGGGGCCAAGACACGACCATTGAAACCCATACATGATAGGTACTTGGTATCCACCTGTACCTTGAGGTAGCCCGATATAAGTCGTGGGAGTCTCACCTGTCTTTCTTGATTCTGGTATGGAATCTGGGTGTCCGGTCACTGGCACATCCGGACGGCTCGGGGTCCTCGAATGCTCTGGAATGAAAGACATGGTCCCTCGCTGTTGTGAATGACGATGTGCAATGAGCTGTGGGCTGTGGATGTACAAGAAGTTGGTATACGTACTTGTAAGGTAGACTGACAGTAGCATGAAGTAGTGAAGGTTGAATGTTGACAGAGTCCACTTCAAGCCACGAATGCCGCCGGTCGCTTCATCAGGAAGCTCCCATCACCGTCGCTGCTTCCCCTTTTCTTGCCGGGCTTTACCCAATCACCGGTTCCCGCTAGGTCATCCCACGGCGCACCTGGAGGTCCGAGATTAGCAGGGCAACTTCCATCTTCACCTCCAAAAATCCTCTTATACTTTCATCTTCCACAGCAGGAGGATCAGTCCAATAGGTCACGCGTGCAAGCTACTTATGTAATGTAGGATTGCTTCCCGTCGCTAGCTATACTAGTAGTATACGGAGTAGTTCGACGCCAGAAAGCGGTGACATTCGCATTGATCGCCCCCCTGAGCTACTTTATCCTACTGTGTAAGTTCCAAGCTATCCTTAAGCTACACCCTACACCCTCCAAAGCTTGAAGAGGTGTACTGCGTATGTAGACGGCTGTTGATGAAGCTTCATGCAGGGAGATCGAGTGGTGTTTATTGCTTCATGCTAGTCGCGTTTTACAAATAAACATAATGAAACCACACACGACCGCGAACGCGTTTCCATCTCATAACCTATCAAGGAGCTCAATTCACACTCACTTTTATGCTTCCGTCACTGCCTCTTTGACCGACCTAAGGACGGATATTAAAGCCATCGTCTTCTCGGACGTAACTCAAAGTAGAAACGGATAGCGGATGTGGAAGTGACATCGGACTCGGCGCTTCGTTTCGTTTGCTAGCACCTTCGCAGTACCTATCAAGTTTGAACTACCCACCATCATTACCGATCGCATCGCGTCGCATCGCACATCGTATCTCTTGACTCTCTCCCCATTCTCACATTGATTACCTCCGCCACTGAGCTCCATCCGGCAAGCCTTTGGCAAGTTGCATCTTGCAACCCTTGTTTGCCGTGCACCTCCGAAAGCAGCCCTGCGGCGGCCGGCCTACCACCAAATCAGGTCACCTGCCGCATCAACAAGCCTCAGGAGACCCGCCGCAACTTCTTAGCCCCCTCTTGCCCCCAACATCATCCCACGATTCACCACCAAAGACTGGACACGACGGGGATTCCATACAACAGCGGCATTGAACCGTCCGCAGCCACATCTCTTCAGTAGACAGCCATCGGCCATCCATCCCGGCCGCACGGCTGCCAGATCCCGCCCTAGCACAACTCCCTCCTGACCTGCATCATGCGGCCTTGCTAAAGACAAACCGCACCACCATCACGACTACGCATACCACCACCCCCAATCCTACCTCTCGCGTCGTCGATACCATCCTTCATAGCACAGCTGGATATCGACCTTCCTGCGCAAATACCTTAATCGCCTCCAGATACACACACCTAGAGGCTAGCGACACCTCACAAACGATACTTTTGTGGATACCGACACATCTGACCATTCAACAAATACACAAATCAGCTTTCCGATCCTCGCTTTCGTTCCGGCTAGCAACCTCTTTTTCCCTTTCCCGCAGCCAGGGTTCACCACCAAACACCCACCACCTCCGCTTCGTGCACGACCCCTTGTTCGTTCGTTCGTCCGTCCGTCCATCTTGCCCACACCTCAGTTGTCCAGAAAGAGGGCCCCGGACGGTCCCAGTACCAGGTCCAGGTCCGCAGTCGCCTCATGCCAACAATCGACTACGCCTAACACGCATCCGGTATCCGCTACACTCCAATCTGCCTACCGAGGTACCTACGCCCCGCTAGCATCGGCCTCCACCGCCTTCGCGACCAAGGGCCAAGGCAAGGCTACTCCGCTCTCTCCTGGACTCTGCACCGCTTCTCGCTCTCTTCGCTTCGGGCCTTACCTTCCCCATCAAACAGGCCCATTCCTTTCTGAGGACTTGCCGAACAGTCCAGCAGCAATACGAATATAATCTTTCCTCCGCCTTTTCCCCTCTCGCCTTGCCCGCGACTCTTTCGAGCAATGTCCTCTTCCAATTCAGCATCGCCGTCCTCCAACAGTTACCTCGAGCAGACGGCGTCTATGCTCAGTACTGTTGGCGCGTACATGCGGCTACCAGCCATAGCCTCGACGGTATGGCCATTCCCGCCTCCTCGTCCTACGGGCTACCCATCTTCTCACACCGATATTTTAACCTTCCTGTCTGCAACCCCTCCTCTTGGGCCTGAGCCCGAGGTCGTGCCTCAACTGCCTCGCCTCGCTAGTGCTGCAGGCTAACTCGTCTTCTCTTACCTAGGGTATCGCAGCTGTCTTGACTAGCCTCCTCTACTTCAAGCAAAAGTAGGTCCCTCCACCCCCAATGTCCATGTGACGCTTCCTCATCCCACCCTCAGCGAACCAACCGACTGACTAATTGTGCTGTGCCGCTCCAGAGCTCTCATCTACCCCTCGCATATGCCCGCAAACTCTCGAACCGATGTCCCAAGACCCTCACAGTATGGCATCAAGGATTTCGAAGAACTCGTCATCCCCACAAACGATGGCGAGAAGCTGTCGGCTTTCTACATCCGTGGCCCGCGCGGTGGGAAGAACTCCAATGTCACAATCCTGATGTTCCATGGTAACGCGGGTAACATTGGCCACCGCTTGCCAATCGCCCGCATGCTTATCAACTTTATCGGCTGCAACGTATTCATGCTCGAGTACCGCGGCTACGGCCTATCAACAGGAGAACCCGACGAATCCGGCCTCTTCCTAGACGCGCAAACCGCCCTCGACTACCTCCGATCTCGCGCAGAGACGAGCAACCATAAGCTGATTGTTTACGGACAAAGCTTGGGCGGCGCTGTCAGCATCAAGCTGGTGTCAAAGAACCAAAAGGATGGGGATATTGCTGGCCTGATCTTGGAGAACACCTTCCTCTCCATGCGCAAGCTTATCCCTTCCGTGTTGCCACCAGCAAAGTACTTGACGCTTCTCTGCCACCAAGTCTGGCCAAGCGAATCAATCATCTCTAGCATCACATCCGTGCCGATCCTGTTTCTCTCTGGTCTCCAGGACGAAATCGTACCGTAAGTGCCATGCAACCCTCTCTTCCTGCTTCTTCTCCTACACCATATGATGATCGCAAGTCACCACCCACAAAATATGAGTCCTTCGGGACGCTTGATTTGAATTTTACGACATAGAGTCTGATATTGGTTTTCTCTACACCGGCTTTTTTCGCGTGTCTCACATGTTGCCTCTTGTAGACTAACACATGTCTTAGACCCCGTCACATGCGCCAACTTTACGAACTCTCTGCCGCGCCCTCCAAAATTTGGAAGCCCTTGCCCGCAGGCGACCACAACTCGAGCGTTCTGGAGGAGGGTTACTTCGAAGCCATCTCGGACTTTCTTGGCAATGTCACCGGCGTGACAAGCAAGGAGGAGAAGCAGCGCCTCTAGAAGGACCACTTGCTAACCGAGAAACGGTTCCAACAGCACGTGGCTCACATACTGGAGGCAGAAGCGGACCGGCAGTCCGTCTTCACTGGCGTGTCTCGCCGGCTCCACTGCAGGAGTCCATCCATGAAGGACAATGAGTAGATGATCCCCCCCCCCCTTTATCGCGACCTATGAAGGCACCGATCACCTGGATACACTGCGGCAGCAAAAAGAAGGCATGGAACGGAGAAAACAGTACGTGGCGGCGGGTGATCTTCCTCTCTAAACACACCTTTTTTGGTCCTTCAAAGAATGATACCCCCCGCTCCCCATAACGGACCGGGATGCGACAGCATATCTTAGACGCAACATAAATATAATGAAGCAATGAGTACGAGCAGCCATGCAAAACCAGTCAAAGTGGGAGATATGAAGTGAGGCGACGGTGACATGCTGACCTGAACGGGGTGTGCTGACCTGAACGGGGTATGGCCATGTCTCTCACCGTTAACGGGGGCTTGAGGACAAGGGATGCCAGGCGATGTAAATTTTGTTCAGCAGACAACTTTGGTCCTCATGAGCAGCAGTGGAGTCTATCTACACAGCACAAATGACAGGCCTTGAACTTCATTCCGTCCCATCCTCTCCCTTTCGATCAGTCGTCAGGCATCTGACAATCAATATTCAAAACCGCTTCGCCGGGGAAGTGGGCGCGTCGATCTGGCGGAATGATGCTCGACGGCAGGAGGCTATCACGATCGTCCGGAGCCGGGGTCAACCTTGCCCCCCGTCCATCCGCACCGGACAAGTACGGAGTAGATAGCCAGCTGCAAGCGGGGATATGCCCATGACACCTTTTCCTGCCAGAGAGGAGCCAAACTTCGTTGGAATTTGGGGGGGAACATACGGGGACAGGATAGGACGGACCCGGGTTGGGGATGCTTGGGATCCCTGGGCTGGGCTTGTTCGTCTATCCCGTTTCCTCCCCGTCGCTCGCATGTAGAGCTTGTGGGTTTTATGCACGTGTTTCTCTGACGTGGCAGAGATGCTGAACGGGTGGCGCTTGCTTTTTACTTTGATGTGAGGGATGTGAGATGTCGCGGGGGTCATTGGGGAAAGGGAAGAGAGGGGAGAAGGGGGTTTGGGCTTATCACGATGGACGAATGCAGAGAAGGGGAGGGGATGATGCTCGGTTTTTGTAAATGGTGATAATCGCATCACGTCCTGCTTTGATATCATGATGCTCTTCATTTTGATGCCATATCTTTCCGCTTGAATTCTGATGTTCGATTTTCTGTATTTCATATTTTCTTTTGAATAACACTATATCATCCTACTGTTGAGACCTCCCATCCCATCCGCCTATACCTCGTAACAAATCTTTGCCTTCCCGTCATTGACTTCCCCGTTGTGTAGATACATCACCAACACCACAAAGGAGGTGTGGAGAAGCAAGGCGAGCAACGCTGCAAGCTCCGCCACGCCAGGGCACCTCCTTGCTTGCATTCAAGATCGAGAGAATCAAGAAGCTAACAACTTCCTTGGCCGAAGCAAGAGAAGCTTGTGAGGCGCCGCGGCGCGCCTCACTCATCGCTCTCGGCGGCCGCCTCCCAGTCATCGGCGACAGAGTCCTCAACGACCTTCTTGCGCGCCAGCTTGGAGAAGCTGACAAAGCCGCTGGCGGGACGCGCGTCGGCGGCGGGCTTGGGCGCAATGGTCCTACGCTGTGCCGCGGCGCGGCCGACGACGGCGTTCCAACCGCCGCTGCTGCCGTTTGCCGACGTTCCCTCGCGGCGGAGGACGTTGAGGTTCGCGTCGGCGTGGACCATTGTCACGGCTGCGGCGATGCCGTCCTTGGTTACGGTCCGCGCAACGAGGGGTTTCAGGGACGCGACAGAGGACTCGATGGCCGAAGGGGTAGTGCCCCAGGAGGTGACGGGAACCGCGCGGATGAGAATCTCCTCTGACGGGAGGAAGGCGGTAGTGAAGGAAAGGGTGTTGTAGGCCTTGAGATGGTTGGCGAGGGCTGACTCGACCTCGTCAATGGTCAAGCCGAAGCGCGGAGCCGAGAGGAGTAGGGCGTTGAAGGGCTCTGGTGCCGACGCTGCGGCGGCCGCCGAAGACGAAGCTGCAGCTGCGGCTGCTGCTGTCTTGGCTGCGTCGGTGCGAATCTTGACGCACTGAGCCAGTGTCTTCTTTGGTGCGGCGACGAAGCGCGGTGTCTTGAAGATGGAGACGTGACGGTGCGGCTCTGGGTCCTGGCTCTCCGAGTCGAAGCCGAAATCCTCGGCAAGAGCGTGCAAGAAGGCGCGCTGGAACGAGGGCATAGGCTTGAAGCGCAGACGCTTCTCGGAGGCTTCCGATGCGAAGACGCGGAACTCGCGCTCCTGGTTCTGGGCCCAGGTGTGGGAGAGCTCACGGAAGAGCTTGAGCGTCGTGTCCGAGTAGGGAATGTGGTCGTCGTTGTGATCCGGATCGACATTGAGGGCGACAGCAAGGCGCTGGTTGCGCTGAAGGCGAAGGCACTCGTCGTCGCACTTCAGGATGTCGCGATCCGGAGTTGGGTTGGTCTTGGTAGCCATACACTTCACCTCCTTCTTGCGGTGCTGACAGTCACAAGTGACAAAGGTCTTGCTCTGGCATGGGCGGTCTTCCTTGCATGGGTAGGGGGCGTGGCATGAGTCCTGGCACGAGTGATCGCAGGATTTGCGAGTCTTGCCGCAGGGTTGGGCGCAATGAGAGCCGGGAATATCAGCGTCTTCGCATTCGCCAGGACGGTGACACTCCTTTCTACAAGTGTGAGTTCTGCCTTTAGTTAGCACATGCGATGACTGCTATAATGGAGTTAATATTACTTACCCGCACTTGAGCTTCTTACCACACGGCAGACCACAACGAGCCTCCTCCAGCCAGCAAGGCCGGTTCTTCATCCTCTGCTTGCCGCATATGCACGCTTTCTCTACCAAGAAAGGACACTTGGGACAATCGACATCGTCAGGATGGCAATGATGCTTCACAGTTGGGTGACCGCAAGGAGGTGCTCTTCTGCAGTCGAATCGGCATTCAGGGGGCCTGGTCCCGCACGGCTGTGGAGGTTGCAGGACAGTCCTGCCGCAGGCACAGCTAATCTCCTCGAAGACGGCTTCGAGACAGCTTGGGCAGGGCCCAGCATGGCAGATTTGCGAACACTGGTGAGTTCCACACTTCAGTGTCCTACCGCACACGCGGAGGCAGATGTGTTCCGCCTCAACCTCGTCGGGAGCCTGTTGCTGTCTATGCTTTCTCTTGGCGGCCTGTCTCTCCATTGCCTTCTTCTCCCCAGGACAGCAGCGCTCTCCACACTTGTGACGACTGCAGTTGAGCTGGGCCTGACAAACCTTGAAACACATCGGAGTCGCGATCTCTCCCTGATGGCAGAGGGTCTTGCTCACAGTACGGGTGCATCGACAGGAAATATCCTGCTTCTGGAAGCATGTGTTACAAGGACCGGTATGGCACGTGTCCATGCATTGGTGACCGCAAGAAAGAATCTTGTCGCAGGTCTTCTTGCAGTGAGGAATCTTGTCCTGACAAGACTGTCTCGGTTGTTCGAGAAGCTCTTCCAACGGTGTCTTGCCACAGGGGCAGTGAAGGACAACATCTGGAGCCGACGGGCAGTGAGCCGGCACTTCGTCCTGCGAATGACAGGTCTTCTCACAATCGTGCAAACCACAGTCGTATTTCCTCCCACAAGTCGCTCCGCAGTCGAATGAGCCGTCAAACCAGCTATCCTCAGAAATGTCCTCGGAATCCGAGCTGGAAACCTGGCCGTAGTTGAATGACATCTGAAGGTCGTCACGGCGATCGCAAGGAATTTCCTTGTGCTCTTTTCCACAGTAGCATCTTGCCTGCACAGGAATTTCGCAACTACCACACAAGCCAGAGTGGCAAGGAGTAGCGCAGAAGTGCTCGCCGCAAGGTAGCAAGTCTCCGCAAATCTCTTTGCAACTCCATCCGTTTCCATAGTCTGTCTCGGTGCAACGCTTCGTCACTTCGTGTTTGCCACAGAAGCAAGACTGTGTTGGGCCCATGAGGGTACATGGCGGGCATGGGCCGGCGTGGCATTCGAGAGGGCATGGATGCGGGCATGTTGCTCTGGGCTTTGAGCAAGTCTGTCCGCAAGAGTGAGGAGAAAGACCAGGAACATTTCGAGGGTTGATGTCCTTCCCGCACCAACAGTGGTAAGCACTCGGCTCCTCAGTCAAACTAGAATTGCAGCCGGGACAGCGCCAAGAGCGCGTGTCGTCGTCCTTCTTCAGTTGGCTCGTGAACCACTTCTTGACGCAAGACAAATGTAGCACCGTCCAGCACAGCCCGCAGGACCATACGCGAGATGGCCGCAATACTTCACTGGAGCAAATGACACACTCGTACTGGCCATTGCTGATGTCCTCATGGATGCGCGTGGGTAGATCTGCGGCTACAGATTTTGGTGCCAACGGATACTGAGGTTTCTTTTGCTTCGGCGCAGGTTGTTTTCTGACAATATCAGTCAGTATAAGCTCCAGGGTTTGGTGAGTGTAAACATAAACATACCCTCTGTGGACAACAGGCTGCCCAGGAACGAAATCCGGGGCATTTGCACTCAGCCCCTGGGCATCCGACGCATTTGGATCCGCAGCAGTCGTCAGGCTGCCTCCAAACGTTCGCTGAGTTCCAGATACCGTGCCACCGCGGACCACTCCACCTCGCCGGCCGCCCCGATTACCGCCGCGGCCACGGCCTCTCCTCCCCGAGCTAGTTGGCTCTGATCCAGGTGCATTTTCTGTTGAGACTTCGGGAGCCGGTGCTGGCTGTGCTTGATTCCGGGGCTGAGGATTGGCATTCCTGCCGCCACCTCGCCGGCCGCCACGGCCGTTGCCTCCTTCTCCTCTCCCTCTCCCTGATCTACCTCGACGGCTTGGCTGAGAACCTCCTGCGGCTGACGAGCTCGCTTGAGTCTGCGTCTGGGTTTGGGTCTGCGTTGCACCACCGTCCGACATGTCTGATACTCTGACTGGGGTGATGACGAGATGATGAGTTGATGAAATTGTGATTGCGCTTTTTGAAATACAGCGTCTTCGAACAGGTGCTGCCGAATTGGGCAGCGAAAGTGAATCAAGAGGCCTCGCGCTCTCGCAAGAAAAGGAGAACGTGAAAGGAATGAAAGTGAACAAAGATCTAGGATCCCACTTTCACTCGGTACCCGGACCTGGGGAGGCGACTTTAAAAGAGAATCCGCAGCAGAGAAAGGGCAAGACTCCGTTCGAGTGAAGTCGCTGGGGCGGACTTAAGCGTTCGGATGAGTGGACCCGCTAAAATTTTGGGAGAAGGTCCCTTCCGGGCTTGGAGCCGACAGGTGTGGCGAGACTGCCACTCTTCGTCCGCTGTAAGGCTGACAAAACAAGCAGGAGGTCACCACCTACCGTATCGTAGGCAAAGCCCGGGCCAGTCACTATGAGTCACCATCAATCGTTCCTGCGGCTCGGCTCTGCCGCCAGCTAAGACAAATCTTAAGTTTGACTCAATGATTGATCATATTGTGCAGACTGCAGTCATGTTTTGTGCAGCTTTTAACCACTTTGGGATATGCACCGCTATCTTCACGCTTGTTGAAGATCTTATTTCATTGCAGGGCAAATGGCCTCAGTGGATACGGTGCGTACCTACTGTACCTCTGTACCTTACAACTTGCACCTCACAAGCCGAAATTGAGTTGATACTTGCCTCAATGCTCACTTGTCAAATGCAGAATTCTCAAGACACGGTGGTTCTCGAGATTTCGAAGTTCTCAGAGCGGGCTCACAGATCTAGATTGTCTTGTCTTTTTGTGCGTCGTCGCGCTATGATACTCTCTGAGCGACGGGGTCAGCGGAGCCCTTAATAGGTTTGCCAGGTCCCCCAAATGCCAACTGCGTCGATGGTTTAGTGGTAAAATTCTCCGTTGCCATCCAGCAGCGTCGGGGAGCCGGGGGTTCGATTCCCCCTCGACGCAATCTTTTGTTTTTGACTTATTCAGGCAGGCTGGAACCGTGTTATTTTGTTGTTGGAACTCATGTTTGTCGACCCTTGCCAGTAATCTCTCTTTGGAAAGGCAGGTTAGCTCTACTTTCTTGATAAATGAGTGAGTGAGAATGCAAACTTCGTCATGATGTTGATGAACCGCGTTTGCGGCTTCCACCGGCTCCGCGTCTACTAGATATAATTGCTGCTTCAATCCAGGATGCTACACTTGAGCGGTTCGTTGTTCGATACTGAAGGCGTGCGAATGGCGCGGTCGGTATTGACATGGTCCTCCTCGGTTAGTCGAAAACGTTCCGATATCCTCAGTCGACTTAGATTTATGACTGAAGAATCTACTTAATTTGAGGTGTCCAATGAAGTAAGTTTGCTCTCAGAGCCGGCAGTAAGCATAAATTAGGTGGCTCGTGGAGACAAGACCATAATGTGTCCAAGTGCGCAGCACGCAAGAAACTTTACAGGACGGGAAATAACTACAAACCATTATCAACCTCTCGCAATCGAAACCGCCGGATCGATGGGATGGATCTAGAATCTAGCAAACTCAACAGCACAATGGAATGGGAGGGGCAGATCGGGGGCCCAGACCTGTCGCTATCTCCATGCATCACGACGAAATCAGGTGAAGACTCCGGTCCCCTTGGCGCCCTCGCTTCTGGGGTTGCGCGGAGAGCCAGTGTTCTGATTCGCCTGTGCCTTGGTTCATATCCACATGAGAATCCCTGTAAGTGAGCAGTGAAGGCAGCATCGCCGTCGACGTGCATGATGCAGGTTGGTTTGCTCTGTTGGTTTGGGGAGTTCCAAAGCCAAAGAGGAAGATTGGAAATGATTGACCTCTCAGGCGCCTGTCCTTCGTCACAAAACCCCCAAGAAATTCCGTTTTCAACATTCCATCTATTTTTACCTTTAATACATTTTTTAAACGAATATTCGTCAAGAGACCACCGGACGGTTCCTGATTCATCTCGCGATATTTAGCGTCGCCAATGCTAGAGTATACAAGCAACTCCGCATCTCACATCATCTTTATTGCTCAGTCTCCCGGGCGCTCGCGATGTGGGAGACATATCAAGTCATCGCTGCCGATAATGGGGTGTGGACTACTCTCCATTAGTCTCACAAGAGATGTAAGACTGACGCAGTAGGGCAGCAATTAGACGAACGCTCTGAGATTGAGGTTAGCCCTGGCTCATCGCCATCCCTCAAAAGCATAATTTTAACGGTATCGCAGAGCATAGCCTCATCTAGTATGAGCATCAGCCAATCGATTCTAGGATACCGAATCGAAAACGGCAGGACATACCACCGATATAAGGATGGCAGTGAGTTAGCTTTCGTGGCTTCACATTGCGCAATAGAGTACCAGCTCTCCGGCTGACAGCTGTGGTATAATCAGAATATGTGCTCCCGAATGACGAGATAGAAAGTGATAGACTAGGTTTGCTTGAATACTCACTCCCTTTCAATACCCACCTGACATCTGAACTAGATATGCAGCACGAGATATTCACATATACAATCGGCGATAGACTGGGACGGGCCCCGCCATGCGACGAAGATGCCAAGGTCGGGCGTGTCCTCGACGTGGGGACTGGTACCGGCATATGGGCCATCGACTTTGGCGAATTGCATCCCGAAGCTGAGGTATTCTAACCAACCATACATCTCTCATTGCCGGTTCCTTACCAAATGCTGCAATCAGGTCTATGGTGTTGATCTTTCGCCCAACCAGCCAGAATAGTAAGAGAGCCAGCGGATGTCAAATGACGGCGTCTCGTTGATACTGACATGTCCTTCGAATACAGTGTACCGGAAAATGTGAGGTTTGAGATCGACGACGTGGACGAAGACTGGACATACTCAAAACCATTCGATTACATCCACAGTCGGTTCATGACAGGTGCCATCAACAACTGGAGAAAGTTCTTCGAATCCGCTTACGAGTAAGCCCTCAGCCTCATTTATCTCTGTTTCCCTCTTTCGAAGACATCGATGAATGACAACAGCCCTCGCGTTGCTATATAGCCATCTCAACCCCGGTGGGTGGTTCGAGGTCCAAGACGCCGACATCAATCCTCAGTCCGACGACGACACCTTTCCAAAGGACTGCGCATTAGCAGAATATGTGCAGCTACTTCAGTCCGGCGCGGAAGCCGCTGGCTGCTCGTATGTCGATATACCATCGCTAGCGGGTCTCATGACCGAGGTTGGTTTCGTGGACGTCTCGATCCAGATGTACAAGTGGCCCATTAATGGGTGGCCAAAAGAAGATAGGTCAGTATAGTGCACAATCGACGCCCCCAAAGTATCCGACTTGCACTGGCAAATGGACCTTTATTAGGACTCGAGTACTAAGGACGATATCAGGTATAAGAAATTGGGCCTCTGGACACAGGAGAACTTTAGCAGTGCTCTCCAGGGGCTGTGTATGGCTCTCTTTACTCGCGTTCTTGGGTGGTCTCGAGCGAGGGTCGAGGGCTTCCTCATTAATGTGCGCCATGATGTGAGGAATAGGGATTTCCACGCTTACTTTCGAATGTGAGTTGCGAGCTAGCCCTCATGGGAGCCACTTTACGTCGGGTCACTAACGATTGTTTGCAAGATACTGTATCGTAGGTCGGAGACCGTAGAAAGGTGAAGTAATACACATCTGTGCTGGTAGGTATCACCAACAAGAAGAAGACTGTGTGTATAGGAGGTATTACATTTACACAGCCGCAAGGCAAGACTTAACATCCTTTTCCTGCATTCAAGATAGACATTCTGCTTGCCTCATCTTCATACAGTTCCAAAGACGCGAAAAGGCAGGCTCACGTGCGCCACAGAATTCCTGAAGGTTACCAATTTGACACCTAGACTTTGGCAAAGATTGGTGTACTAATGGTCCGTTGACTCAAGATCAGAGGCATGCGGCGCAATAAGCGCAAACCCATACTGAAATGTCCCTTAAATACAAATTTAAACTGACAAAGTACCGAATCCTATGCGACTATGCGAATGGCTTTCATACGGAGGCCGGCAATTGAACAGTGTGTTCAGAGAGGTTCGTTTGCAGCGAAAACGAGACTTGATTCCAATGACTTACTGGAGTTATTGGGAGTATATCCAAGCTGTGTCCAGAAATAATATACATCGATGTGGCCCCCATGCGAAATGTACTTTGGCAATCGACTTGAACTTGCCTCAGCAATCATCAGAGGGTTTCCCTCAGTAGACAGAGCTTCTCGTTTGGGTGACCATGTTTATCTCAAATGCAGGCTGGTGGATTGGTGACTGTCCGGGCCGGGGGCCTCAGACGGGGCATCTGATCTGGTTGGCAAGGGTTCCGGGGAGCGCGGGATGTGTTCGTCCTCCTTCCACAAATTGCTTCCCGAGCAATCGCAAAAGTTGCGGCGGGTACAGAAACCGTGATTTCTCATTCGCTTGAGCGCATTTGAGCTCCACATTGTGACGCGAAAGCAGGGGAAAGAGACATCTTGCCAGTCGCTGTTGGTTGCATGTCTTCAGGCCAAGGAAAGAGGGGTCGCAGATGCAGAGTCGACCGGTCAGGTCTCTCGTCACAAAAAGCAGAGACCTCCCCGTCAGGTATTTATCTTGCTTTCCAAGGTTCTTCTTTCATAGCCGGCGCCGAATGCAAGCGTTAGTCAAGTCTTTTGCTTCATTGTTAGGCCAAGAAACAAGTAATTGAAGAGATAGAACGTAGGCCCTTGCTCCCACCGGAACCAACAAACCCTGTTACGGGACATTCTTTACCACCGATCACGACGCGAAAATGGCTGAAGTTGACCACGAAGTCGAAATCGCCGCTGAGGTACTTCTTGGATTATTCAATTCATGTGGTAGAGAAACTTACATCCCTATAGGAATCCGATACCAGTGGATCTGAACTCGGTGAGGTATGTTGGATCGTAGGGCCCGCAAGAACCATGCCTCCAGCCAGCTTGATCTAGACAAGAGCGCAACGAGTTCTGGTCTTTGAACTAATGCAATTCAACCCCATAGAGCGTAGCATCTTCGACGACCAGTCTCAGTGCCTCCATCCTTGAATACCGGATTGAAAATGGCCGGACATATCACCGATACAAGGACGGAAGTGAGTTTAAACTTGTCAGATGACGAGACCTGTGGACTAAATATACTAACCAATCTTAATCTAAACAGAGTATGGCATGCCCAACGACGAAACGGAGGCGGAACGGCTAGGTACGCTGTAGTTTTGCAAAGTTCCACTGCCGATTTGCTCTTTCTAACAAGTTGGTCTAGACTTGCAGCATGATATTTGCGTCTACACATTCGACGACAGACTTGGAATGGCGCCGCCGTGCGATGATACCGCAAAGGTCGGGCGAGTGCTTGACATTGGAGCTGGAACTGGGAGCTGGGCTATGGATTTCGGCGACTTACACCCTGAGTCCGAGGTATGCTGCAGCATGACCCATGTTTGACTTAATGAAGTGGGAAAGAGCTTGAGATTTGACTTAATATCCAGGTATTGGGCGTTGACCTCTCGCCTGTACGGGCGGATTTGTATGAGATATCCTCGCTCTCAGCACATCAATTCTTTTTTTTTTTCCATGCTAACGAAAAGGTTGCAGCGTACCTCCGAACGTCAGGTTCGAGATTGACGATGTCGAGGACGTGTGGACTTATTCTCAGCCTTTTGAGTATATCCACAGCCGATTTATGACCGCAGCTATTGACGACTGGGATGTTTTCATCAAGAGATGCTACGAGTGAGTTACGCAATTAGAGCTGTACTTTCTTTTGAGCTTCCTGTACTGATCGAAGTAGCAATCTCACCCCTGGTGGATACCTGGAACTTCAAGAAGCCGACGTCATGCCCAAGTCTGACGACGACCTGTTGCCCAAAGACTCTTCGATTGTCAAATACGTCAATATGCTGCACGAGGCTTCCGAAATTACGGGTCGCAAATTTGTTGAGGCGCCTCCGCTGAAGAACAAGATGATTGAGGCCGGGTTCGTTGACGTTGAGCTCCGCATCTTCAAGTGGCCTCACAACACCTGGCCCAAGGATGAGAGGTACCCTACTCACTGAAGCAGTGTGGACACACATGGGAAAAGAAGGGAAAGGCTAACTGAACCGACTAGGTATAAGAAGCTCGGCTTATGGACGCAGGAGAACTTCGGCTCTGCGCTCGAAGCCTTGTGCATGGCCGCCTTCACCCGCGTGCTCGGCTGGACGCGCGACGAGGTCAACGTCTTCCTCATCGACGTTCGGAATGACCTCAAGAACAAGAGCTACCACGCGTATTGTCCCGTGTAAGTACCGTATTTTTACGTGAAGTTGTCATGCTGCTTCGGGGTGCTAATAAGAGAGACCAGCTACTGCATCACTGGTCGCAAGCCGGAGAAGGAAAAGACCCCGCCGGTGCCTCAGGAGGAGACGGAGGCAGAGGAGGCAGAGGAGGGAGCGCAATGATGATGATGCAAAATCAGTAGCTTTCGGGTGTCAGGGGTTGTCTATAGTCGTAGATGTAAATGGCCCCTTAGTTGATGAGAAAATGCTTCTCTCCTGCATACCACTCTACGTGAAACGATTTGGATCTCTCGCAGCCGTGATGAATGAATCGATTGATGTAACGCATACAGCGAGAGTCATAGCAACCATCTGCCCCGGGTCTTCCAAGGCGAAGCTACCCGCTGTCCTGACGTTGACCGGGAAGCAACCGCACGTCAACCTAGCGCCGCAACCGTGAAAGGATCCAGACATACGCATTGTGATCGGTCGGTTTTAGGATGCTTGAAACGGCGGCTATGAGAACCAATAGTAAGATTTCCAATACATGACCGCGCGGTAATAAGACCAACAAGGCCAAAGGCAATGCTAAGTTGGCAAACTTTACAGAAAGAACATTGAAGCTAACGTAGCGCTTGCATTTGGATGGGGGGCTGAGGTGGCAGGATGTTGGAGGAGAAGCGCGCCAAGGGAGATTTGAATGCGCCGCAGTGGACTGCCACCAACAACACAGCACTTACTGTGTAGGTAGATACCCTGATCCACCTTCCGACGGTGCCTGCGGAGGCCCTGTCAAGGTAAGGTAGGCAGCCGTTCGAATCCCCTCGGAAAAGCGAACTAACTTGGCGTTAGGGCCAGTTGCTAGTAAGCTTAAAAGGAGCATGTCATTTCAAGCCTTCGTGAAAGAGGAGAAAGGAGGAGACGCAAGATGAAGCTAGAACAAATATTGGACTAGGAAGCTCTTGGTGAACCGACACTGGGAACCGGTCCCCCGGCTCAGCCAACCCAATCCCCGGGGTTACGGGTGCCTAGAAAGGTAGAAGCTCTAGCGGTTTGGTCCAGCGTTGCCCCCCCGGCGTGTCTCCGCTTTTCCGTGCGGTGCTGCGGTGCAAAGGCCCGGCGAAGTTCGCTGCGGCACTGCCACTTCCTGCTATTTCCCCACCCGAAAATAAGCAGAGAACCCGCCAAACTTCTACCGCCGCTTCTAAACTTAGAAGCTCTTGGCGGTAGGCAGGATGCAGACACGGCCACACTATGGACACTACTACACCTGTCACCAACGAGCCTTGCCTACCTTACCGACTATCTGGTAGATCTTGGAGGATCGTTGGGAGATTGTAATCTTATACTATCGGAACCTAGGTATTGAGAGCTCGTGGCCACGATGCTTGCTGCAACATATAACCACGGTGGTACCGCCATTGACGATGTAGGTGGGTGTTGTTATTGCACCTCTCATCCTCTAATACCCATCGACCTCGAACGAGTGTGATACTCGCTCTAAAGAGTCTAACTTGATGTCCGTCTCGACCTCATCTTGACACCAAAACCACTTACACCGACGCATCATCACCAACAGCATCACACCGACCGCCATGACTTCATCACCCTGCACGCTCGCGACGTGCGACGTCTCCGACAGCCCGTACGGCTACCGCCCAGCACTAACAGGCAGCGCCGTCTTCGCCACCGTCTCGGCCCTCTGCCTCGTCGTCAACGGCGCCGTCGCCGCTCGGTCAACACAACGGCACGCCACAACTCCCTTCTCCGTCATCGTGACTCTCGCCTGCGTGCTCGAGTTGCTCGGCTGGGTAGACCGCATGGCTGGCTGGAGCGACCCTTGGGCCGTGTACCCTCTCCTGCAGAGCAAGGCCCTCCTCACGATTGCCCCGATTTTTGTCACTTCAAGGTATGTCTAAGTTCCCTTGTGATGCCATGTTAGTCTCTACAAAAATACAAATGCTGATTCCCTGTCTTGCAGTATCTACGTCTGTCTCGCACCAATGGTCCGGATACTAGGCGCAGAACACTCCTTCATCAAGCCTGAACTCTACACTACCATCCTCCTCCCGCTAGACGGCCTCGCCCTTCTCCTCCAAATCGTAGGCCTCGGCGTCGGCTTCCAAAACGTGCCGTACACTCTCTCACCCCAGGACTCGTACGCACCTAACGACATGGGCGCGAAAATCGTCCTGGCGGGCCTGGCCGTCCAGCTCGCAACCCTGGTCACGGCGGGCCTGTCCCTCGCCTTCATCCTCCTCCGCGCAGCCCGCTCCTACCGACAGTACGGCTACACTACCTTCCACCGCGACGTGGGCTACGTGCCTCTGACGGGCCGCTTCCGCATCTTCGCCGGCGCGGTGCCGTCCGCCATGGTCGTCTTGTTCGGCAGGATGTGTTTCAGGGTCGCCGAGTACGCAGAGGGCTTTCGGGGCCCGTTGGCGAGGGGCGGCGGGGAGGGATTGTTTCTCGGGCTCGAGGGGTTTCTTGTCGGGTACGCGCTCTTGGCGATCGTGGGGTGCCACCCGGCCTTGTTCTTGAGGGATGGGAAGATGGTTTCGAGAATCGAGTCGGAGCCGTTTGTGGGTATTGATAGCGTTGGGAGTACTGGCGGGAACGGCGATCACGAGAGGGATTTGGAGGAGCTTAGCAAGGTGTATCAGAGGCACCACGAGGAGGAGGAGAGGCTGTCGAGATTTGAGCGTGTTTGAAGATGATACCCCCTTTTTAAAGTAGCGTGCGTTGATATCATTTTGGGTCATCATTCAGCGGACCTAGTCGAATTGACATTGTATATTTTTTCATTCTTCTTTTTCGAGCCTCTGAGGCTTCCCGCTCGTCATAGAAAGCTGCAACGTATTTCGCATGCTTCAAGTAAAGATTTCAATTTTTCGTAAACCGGTAGGAAGTCCCGGTGGCTCACTTAGGAGAATGGCTTAATTTCAGTGTCTGAGACTTATGGCAGAATTGCAACTAGATTGGACATTGCGTAGTAGTAAGGTAGCTTAGTGCCTACAAAGTGCGAGACGAAAGTTCTCAATCAAGTTGCAACATCATAATAATCAGTCCTTGCTATCACCACTGACTCTATTAATCTCATGAAGCTTTTCTTCGTGTGATCAAGACTCTTGAGGATGCTCAACAATTACCCAAGTCTCCAACCAAACAAGCTAATGGCCATGAAAGAGCTCTAGTTAGCTCTTTAAACAAAGAAGTAGTCACAATGATTCTCGACTCCTCGGCTCATCATACCTCGGCAACAGGCGTGAGTTCCCCCCGTACAGAAGGGCATCCGTCGTCTTAGTCTCCAACTCGATAAGCTCTCCACCAAACTCTGTCGACAGATACGTTCACGGGAGGGGGCTGGTCTGACAGGACGACTCTACTCAGACCGCAAGTCCATACTTCTTGGGACTTTGGGCGCTAACATGATTGGTCTCGAAACGCGATGCCCGAGATTGTCAATAGTGCTTACACGTTGAAAGATGACCGAGATCCACACCGGACGCCTCACCCGCCTAGGTAACATCACTCTAACCAAAGAAACATGAAAAGCTATATAAAATGCCCATTGCCAATGTACGATAGAGTTCGTAGAAACACATCATTCCTCTTTTCTCTTGTAATCGGCTCAAGCTTGCATTCGACTGTGAAAAGACGTCTAGATCAAACCACAGCATTCTCCTACAATGTCCAGCAAACCCATCATCGTGCTCACCCCAGGAGCATGGCACTCGCCAGAGCACTTCCAAGACCTCCGCGACGAACTACACGCACGAGGCTGGGAGACCCGCGGCGTGAGGCACCAATCCGTCGGCTCTGAGCCGCCAACAAAGGGCTTATACGACGACGCGGCCGCCACCGGTGCCGTGCTGCAAGAGCTCGCCGATCAAGGTCAGCAGATCGTCCTAGTCGCTCATTCATACGGCGGTCTCGCGGCAGCTGAAGGCGTCAAGGGCTTCGGATTCAAGCAGAGAGCCGCGGAGGGCAAGCCCGGCGGCGTGATTATCTTTGTATACCTCGCTGCGTTTGTGGGGCAAAAGGGGCAGAGCATCTTGAGCATGACGGGCGATGTGTATCCCCCATGGAACAGGGTAGAGGTGAGGAAAGCGTCCTCGTGTCTTTCCTGCGATGCTTGTTATACTGACCGGATACGGTAGGACGGCCGAATCCATATCGTGACCGCCGATGAGCCCCTCTACGGAGATGTGCCTGCAGAGGCAAGGGAAAAGGCAAAGAGCTTGTTGAAGCACCAGACGACGATCTCGTTCCAGGAGACGATGACGTACGAGCCCTGGCACGACATTACCTGCATGTACGTCGGCTGCGAAGACGACCAGGCGATTCCGTACTTTGCGCAGGAGCAGATGCAGCAGCTCCTGGGACCCGAGGCGACCAAGTTGAAGCTGAAGTCTGCGCACTCGCCGTTCCTTTCTGTTCTGTCCGAGACGGCTGATGCTGTTGAGCTTCTTGCGAAGAAGGGGCTGGAGGCTCTGTCGGCTTAGACTCAAGATAGCACGGGCTTCGAAAGTGGTTATACTCGCTATGGAGGTGAATGTTTTGAGCGCAGCATTGTATTGCTAGCGGCTGGAGGGTCCTGTCTTATATGATGGTATGCCGTAGCTACGAGTGACGATCAATGAACCCATGTTACCATTTCAGTAAACCAGCGCCAAATATAGTCAGCCTGGAGACCAAAGTAAACGATACGTGATGGCGCCTGTATCGTGCTTGTTGCAATCTTGATTGAGTTTAGATAGATGTTTGGTGGGAGATTCGTTGTGAACAAGATTGTCAGCGCAAAGACATTAAAATCGTCGCCAAATGCATCCAACGCATGGGGTTCTTCATACACGGTTATCAAACCCAGCAATGCCATTGTATGATTGTCGTCTCGACCTGACTTCAACACGTGGAAATTCATGTATTACTTTACTCACTTAAAACCAATCTCATTGATACGTATATTCTTCAACAGGCGATAATCTAAGTGGCATGAAGGCTGCTGCCTAGGTTAGACGGTTGATGCAGTGAACTTCATACTGTCGATGGTAACACACGATCCATGGTCTCTCGCACCTTGAAGGAGCACCATGTCATTACTTCTATGAATTTGGACAAAATGAGAAGAGAATTCCCGAGAATGAGCACATAGCTAGCAGCAGGCAGCCATCAAGAAGATGAGCGGTTTCCGTGTTGCCTTGAGAGATAGATGCCCACGAATGGTCGCATGAAGAAGACGAGTTTCCCAGAAAGGGTTGCTGAGGATGAGGTAAGGTTGCCGGGATGCACCCCGCCGTGAAACCCCCACCAAAACCCTTTCCAAGGCACCAGCCTGTGTGCACCTTGACGTAGCCAGCCAAGCAGCAGGAACAGCCGGGATCCCGTGTAGTAAACAAAAGCAGGAAAGCAATCAGCCGAAGCATAGGAAGGTATGTAATTACAAGACGGACGACACTTCAACTTGCCTTTCTTCACCGAAAGACCCCATTCTCACGCATCACCGCAGCAGAAAATATCCATCTTGAACCCCATTCATCGGATATAACTGCAAACTTGCATCTTTCACCCCGCCGCTATTTAAAACTTCTTCAGCACCACCTCACCAATACACAACCATGGCGCCCCCCTCCCAGCTCACCGTCGCGACTCTCTCCGTCACCAGACTCCTCAAGGAGGAGATCTCGTACGAGAAGGAACTCATCCAGCAAAGAGGCAAGGTCACGACTCTGGAGAATGAGATCAAGGAAGGCAAACCCGATGAGGACGGTAACCGGGAGTACATGCTCAAGCAGCTGGTAAGTCGCTCCCCACCACCGCCAATACGGTCGAAATCCTCGCTTCTCCGAGGTATCTGTGATTCGTCTTGTAGTGTAACACCCCGACTGACTGACTTTGGGGGACTAGAAACTCGCGGTGGAGGAGACGCAAAAGGTGTTCCCCGAGTTGAGAACCCGCGTCGAGGACGCGACCGTCAAGCTCGAGGAGCAGATTGCTCTGGCTGAGAGCGGCGGTGCGTCGCCTGAGGAGCTGGAGACGGCGAGACTTGCGCTCGCAAAGGGCAAGGAGGAGAAGACGTATCTCAAGGACGACGTCTCTGCTTAGAGTTATGATTATTTCTTTTTCCCTGCGTTCTGATATCAAAGATGAGAAGAGGTTAGGGATTGCGTTGTGTTAAGGACAGGCGAGCGTCAGAGGCACGATAGCTGCCTGATTTAATGGGTATCTCAATTGAGGGACTATTCTAGGATCCTCCGAAGCACTTGATTTGTTTAGCTGTCCACCTCCATGCTCTCCGGTGCGTCTACTGTGATTTGAGGCGTATCGCCTCCCGAAGTAAGTTGGGTATCATGGCGGTCATCCATCTCGACGTCCTCTCCCTCTTCAATCTCGCCCTCATCGTCATCTTGAGGCTGAGGAGTGCCATTCTGACTCGGGACGGCGCTGCCAGATCGCGAAAAGCCGCCCAGGCCACTCGCTCGAGGCTTGAGACCCTCAGACTGATCCTCCGACTGACCCTCGTGCGCCGACGCCGGTCTCGGCACAGCACCGCTGTCTGGGTGCGGCGTGACGTTGCCGCTGGAGACGTGTCGAGGCGTGTTGCCCCCTCTAGAAGCGTCGCCGTCCTCTTCGCCGTCTTCGTTCATGCCCTCCCGTCTCTCGACCTCCTCCTTCTCGTCGCGGATCTGTCTGCGCAGTTGCATGCCTTCATCCATAATTTTGCTGAACTGATCGCGTCGCTCCCGCCACGTCACCGCGTAGGTCTCGCTCTCCTTCTCCAGGTCGCGGATCTCCTCCTCGAGCTTCTTCAGGTTCGACTCCTGCTCCCCGCGCGGCCGCAGACCCTTAGCCATGAGCGCGTTGGCGAGCTTGTCATACTCCTTACGTTGGGCAAGCGTCGCCCTGGCGCCATCCAGCTGTTCGCGCAGCCGCGCGTTGTTGTCTCGGACGTTTTGGCATTCCTCGAGAATGCGTTGCTGGTCAGCTTTGTAGCGTTCGCGCTCGCGTACATTCGCATCAAGGAGGAATTGTAGGCGGGCAATACTGCTATCGAATGCAGCGAAGTCGAGGGTGAGGTCGTCTTTGATCTGATCAATCTCTCGCAGGGTTTGAGCTGTCTTCGTTTCCTCCTTCACTTCAGTATCGGCGTCATTGTCGCCGTTTGCGCCCTCAGGCGGAGGGGTAGGTTGCTGTTTCGAGTGGGCATTTACAATCGTCGAGATGGATGTGAGCCGCTTGGTGATCCGCTTGAAGGGCTTCTCCTCGATGTTGACCAGTCGGGTTTTGTGCAATTCCTGCTCTTCCTTATCATCCAGAAGACTCCAAGTTGACGCCATTTTGCGGGATTGAATTAAGGAAAGCTGTATTGTGTCGCTTGTCGAACTGTAAAAGCTAGATGAGCCTGGGGCTGTGCTGTAGGAGGTCGATTCCTCGCTTGTCCTGCCAATCAGCTCAAGAACAATAAAGCCGTACTTCTTCTGAGGTGAGTGTTGCAAGATGGTGCGATTAATGTGAGCGACAAATCGGATACCGCAGTTGACGATGATGAAAATGCAGGACTGAACTCAAAGGAGCAGCTGTAGAGGAAAAGAAGCTCCAGGTCGTGCACCTTTCTTCTGTCACAGCCTTGCAGTAGCATGCCAGCAGCCACACATGCCTTGCTTAGCGCAGATTGGTCAGCTACCTCGCAAGCCTTAAGCGCTGTGAAGTGGGTCACCGTCCCCTCTACCTGCCCAAGACAAGGAAACTCCGATCACACTGTCAAAGCGTCTACCCTCCCAACATTCGGTGATCTCATCTTCGCAAAAACACACAACCTCCCTCAGGCGCAACAGCATTTCTTTGGTCGCAAAACTCAGAAACACCACAACAAAAAGACAGTACAACTCTGCAATACTAGGAAATGCCGTCTCAGGAAGAACAAGAACTGCTGGCCAGAATCGGCCAGCTTGCGGGTACGTATTGTTTTTTCTGTAACCAGACACATGTGACATGAGCGCGTATTCTCTAACGTAGTGGCAAACAGGCAAGATCAACCTTCACAAGGCCCAGCAAGCTGGCGTTCAATCAGTCCCAAGCAGCCAGGCTTCCTATCATCGTCGTATGTTTAATCTTGAGACCGATAAAATTATCCTGCGCTTACATATCACAGACAACACTCACCGACATGGCGCCTTCCCTCACAAGCATCGAGTCCAGCCATACCCCTCCACCCGAGGAGGCCCGACAGGTTTTCGGCACCGGTCCTTGGTGGTAAACAAAGATGGAACCCAAACACCTCCTTCCGATGCGTCTTCTCCTGCGGAAGGTTCCGTTTCGACGACGTCCTCGGGCGCCTGGATCTCGAAGAATACTCGCGGTCAGAGGTCGCTGATCAACTCGGCCGTTTACGACAAGACCAATGAAGCACATGTCAAGGCCATCGAGGCATCGCGCCAACAGAGGATTCATCAGCAGGACGCGCGCGAGCAACAACAGCTCGCCAACCATTTCCAACGCTACAGCGGCAATGCAAGCGCACCGCATACTCCTACTAACCCGACAGCGACAGGTAATCACGAGATAGAGATTCAAGGCATTCGCTTCCGTGTCGCGAATAGCGGCAGCAAGCTCATCAAGGTGTCGGGTGCGTTACTACTACAGCCTTGCACAGCGGAGCAAACTTACAATCGTACAGGAGATCTGCACCCAGTCAACGCTACCCCCAAAGTCGCCTTCGTTGGGGGTGTCAAATTTCATCGAAGCAAGACCGGTAATCTTTACCGTGACGGTGTGCTCAAAGCTCAACGGTATGAACCCCTCGCTTCTGGCCGACAATTGCTAACTTGAGTCGCTCCCCCAGCCAAATTGGCGTCAAAAAGGTCGACGTGCCTTGCAGCATGTTTTCGCTGACTGGTATTTTATTCACAATCTTATTCGATTGCCCACGCAATATCCGATCCGACAGATTTGGATGATTTCTTGCTCAAGTGGGTATGATATACCGGACTCCACTAACCACCATCATTTCATTTTAGGTTCATGTGCCAAGGGACCATCTTGTCGATACAAGCACGATGCAACGAAAGTTGCCATTTGCCGTGAGATGCTGCACAAGGGAACCTGCGCCAGTGGGGATTCTTGTGATCTGTCCCATGACTTGACGCCCCAGCGCATTCCGACTTGCGTTCACTTCGTCAAGGGCAACTGTGCCAACTCTACTTGTCCCTATGCTCATTCTAGTGTATCCTCAGGTGCTCTGGTCTGCCGTTCCTTTGGGATGTACGGCTTCTGCGACAAGGGAGACGAATGCGAAGAGCGACACGTCTTCGAGTGCCCCGACTTCAGCAACACGGGCAAGTGTAAAACCAGGGGCTGCAAGCTCCTTCACCGTGAGAGGGCAAGCGTCCTTCGAAAACGGGCGGACGGCGACGAGATGGAGGATTTGTCGAGCGATGACGAGCCGGTCGACAGCGACGACGTGGACTCAGACGAAGTGGAGGAGTTTATCACCGATGGTGCTGGTGATGATACTGACTTCAAGGTTCAGAAGGATTATATCTCTTTCTGATTGTGATCTGATGCCACCTTGCCGAGGCCGAAAGGTCTCTTTTCACTACTAACATGCTTGCTATCCAGTCCTTGAAGGAGTCCAGACCAAGAAAGGCTTCGAGCCATTTGACGGCGGACATACTTCAAGGTCACGAAAACGATTGGGGAAGAAAACCACAAACTATATCCACAAAGAAAATGCAGAAACAGAGCATTGATACCAAGATACCAAGATACCAAGCACAAAGCAGAGAAGAATAGAAGATCATGATAATGATTACGAAGAAGAAAAAAGACCAAACAAACATAGCAGAAATGGATAGAAATATAAATTATGGAAGACAAAGAGAAGAAACAAAAATGTAATACATGATGTGAGCCGAGGTAAAACAGAACGACATTTAAGACTCTATGTCCTGTCGATGTCTGATCTCTTCTTGAGTCTCAAACAATTTCATTCCAAAAAAAGATGAACTCATCGTCAGCTATTATTTTCATTAGTACTGTACGTGATATTGGTATAGAATCCCCCATGTGGAAGAGTGACATTGGGCCAAGCATCATTTCCGCGTGCGGGCCGGCCCAACTGTTCGCGGGTGTCTCAACTAAATCAATTAAAATTTCCATTAGAATTTTACCCCGCCATTCCTCTCCCCTGTGGACTCCTGAAATCAGCCGTCATTCGATGACAATTCCTTGCGCTGACACACCACACAAGCTTCAAGTTCCCACTGCCCAGAGACCCCTCTTGGGCCTTTTTCGCCCCCATTTCCAGTCGGAGCAGTCGGCGCCACTGTCCACATGTCGTCTTCTGATCAGCCCTCCTTTGTCCCCCTCGGACAGCGGGCTAGGGGAGCGTATTGCGAGGCGCTAATGGAGACCCGTCATTTGGCGGCCATATCGTGGTCGGATCGGGGGGCTTGCTGATCTGAGGCTGCTGCCGCTGCCTTGTGGGAGGATTCGCGTCTTTGAACAGCACCGCCATCTGCTCAGCCCCTTGGACTACACACTCTCTTCATCCTTTCCCGAAGCTGAGAATAGCACCAAGTCTGACAACACTGCCTGTCCTGCGTTGAACATAGGTCGTTGTTGGATTTTTACTCATGGATAATTGAACAATTGCTCTTTGCCAAAGACACCTTCTTTCTTCTTGTCGCTGTTTTCTAATTTCCCGGCCCTCCTATTTCTAGACCTGACCTACCTAGTCCAAGAGCTCCAAGCATACATGCTGGATCAGCACTAATTCTTTCCCGACGTCATCATGGGCATACGCGACGTTCTCAAGAAGAAGGAGAAACTCGACAACGGCGAGCACAGCAGCAAGGATGCAGTAGACAGGCTGGCGGCCCCCGAGTTCAAATTCATTCGATCAGACACACACACACAAGAGGTCATCCACCCCCCGAGCGGGCCCCCGGGCTTCGACGACGGCAAGGAACACTACCTAAACCCGAACGGCAACGACGGCGGCAGCGGCCAGAAGCCCCGGCGCAGCCTCGACGTCTTCTTCGGCAACAGCCGCTCGCGCAGCGCGTCCGCCTCCTCGCAGGCGAGCTCGACCTCAAACTCCCACTCGAACAACAATGGCAAGATTGGGAGACGGCTATCGGAGCGGCTGCACCTCAGCCGCTCGCCCGCCTCGTCAGAAAACGTCCCGCAGAACCTACCCGACATCGTGACCACGGCCGAGGGCGGCGAGGGGGACGAGCTGCAGTGGGAGAAGCGCGCGACCATGCTGGCTTCGGCGAATAAGAGCAGGCCCGCGACGCCGTTGGCGAACGACGCGGGTGGTGGGGGTGATATGGCGAGGGGCAGGACGCAGGGCGCAGCGGTCTCGTCCCCGGCCATTGACGAGGATATTCAGGAGGCTATCCGGCTGCACGAGGCGGGAGACTTCGAGAACTCGACGGCCATGTTCGCCCGCCTGGCTGACCCGAAAGGGGCGAATAACACCCTGAGCCAGTTCCTATACGGTCTTTCTTTGAGGTGAGTTGCCTTTTGCCTTGCATGCGGACTGGTCTCGACTCCCGCTCGGCACTTTCCCCGTACCTATAAGACGGGATCGTGGCGCGGGGCGTGCTACGGCTCGCCGGGCGATCATGTTGCATCTGAGGACGGGGGAGCGCTTTGGAGGCAGGACCTCACAGGTGCCACGATACTTGGGCTATTTGGACGAATTTGCTGACAAGGGTCAACAGACACGGATGGGGTTGCGAACCAGACCCAGAAGGGGCCATCAAGTATCTCTCGGCGGCGGCGTCGAATGCGGCAACCGTCGAGCAGATGGCGTTGAAGGCAGGGCTCAAAAAGGGTGGTGCTGCCAAGGGCGAGCTCGTTCTGGCCATATTCGAGCTGGCGAATTCCTTTCGACACGGTTGGGGCACAGCCAAGGACCCAATAGCGGCAAAGCAGGTGAGTTATCCCGTCCACAGACCGGAGGAGGGGAGAGGGGGGCAAGGAATGCCTTTGAAAGCCCAAGGTGGATACGCCTTGAAGGTCTAGAACTGACATCTTGTCGTCATAGTACTATGAGACTGCGGCGAACCTTGGAGATGCTGGTAAGTCTGCCACCATGATGCACTCCGAGGCGTTGAGGCCCAATTGATGTGTAGCGGTGCGCTAACCCGCCTTGCTCGTCTCAGATGCCATGAACGAGGTAGCCTGGTGCTATGTAGAAGGCTTCGGATGTAAAAAGGACAAGGTACGTTTGGTCACAAATCACCCACCATTTTGAGCGGCATTCCGTCTACCGGGTCCTGCGACGTAAGACCTTGAACTTGGTCTTTAGGGGCAGCCAGCATCAGCCTCAGCAGCCTCAGGTATTGTGTGGCTTGCACTCAGCGAGACCACACATGTCATGAGATGCGTGAGAGAGCACGCTGATACTGGTTGACGTCCTACTTGGGTTGTAAGCAACCTGCTTCGGTCCAGGTTGGGCATCAATACGGCGACCCTAAAAGACGGCCGCGGACAGGAACCCGCGCAGGACGCATGCTCGATGTCATCACATGAGGCTGACAACATGTCCAGTTCGCAGCAGCCCGTTACTACCGGTTGGCTGAAAAGAACGGCAACAAAACACTAGGCAATTCATGGTAAGTCGAGCCTGTCTGTTCATTCCTTTCTTTCTCATCCACTGGTTCGTTGGGGGAGGTTTTCCCCAGAGCTGGATTCGGCGCATGCATCACTGGTAAGGAGGGGGGAAAGCTGCAGCTCCCTTGTCGCGGATGACTTGCGCGCTGCGGCGTTGATAGGCTCCCAAGGCTTTGTTTTGCTCTGCATTCCCCCCAAAATGCGGGAGCTCGCCCTGTCATTCAATCTTGGATGACCGTCAGCTTTCCCGGAGCTGCACGCGGTTACCTGCCGCTGCAAGCCCTCCTGCGCTGCGCCGCGTTCCCCAGAGCGCCCGCGAAGACTCGATGCTGCTTCCCGGGGCTGCAATTCGTCGCGGTTACTTTCTGCTTGCCTGCCAGTCCACTTGCTCGCCTGTCCTTTCCCCCCAATCTTTGTGTTCCTGACGCCATTGCCCACACAGTCTGGCACCACACCGTGTGGCCAGAATTTCCAGTGATACCCAAAGGCTAACCACCCGCAAACTCTATAGGATCTGGAAGGAAAAGTATGACCCAGACGCTGGAGATAAGAAGAAGAAGTAGAGACAAGGAGGCAGAAAGTCACGGAACGGGGGAAGCCAAGTGTGTGCATGAGATGACCGAACCACCGGTGACACGGCATCACATACTCGAAACGGGTGGCACGTTCCGGTTCGGCAGTCCCGCTCAGCTTCTACCCGGCGGTCACACTTCCTCCCCCTCTCTCTGTCCTTTCCTGTCGCGGTGTCACCCAATGTGCGAGATCGTGACACGAGGCTTCGGCCGTTCCTTGGGGCATCCTGATTGTGTGGCCGAAGCACAGCGACGATGTCGAAAGGAGGGGAAGAGAGAAATGGGGACACAAAACATGAGTCCCTGTGTCAGCCTTTCCGTTGATAAGTTTATGTTTTCATCCTCTTACCCCTCTCCTGAGCGTCCACACATGGTGGGATAGGGGTACCACGACGATCTCATCAGGCGGGACAAAGTGCGTACGGCGACAAATAGACCCAGGTACCCCATGTGGGAAACGACGATTTGTCGACGTGCTCACGCTGTGCGCCGTCGGACGGGCGAAACCTTTGGGTCTCGCGAGCGTGGGGAAAGCAGAGAAGCTGGCTCCCAGCGAGACAGGGAAAGGGGGAGAGCAAGCTGTTCTGGTCCTCTCGTGAAGTCTTTGCCTCGTCTCCAATATGTCGTTGAGATGGACTTGCAGGTCAAGCACCTGTGCTCTATATGGGAGACACGGAGCTTATGGCCCATGTTTATGCCTACAGCAAGTTTCTGGCTACCGTCGCAAAGGCTCATACTGTCCTTTTGCTTTATTATTTTATTGTTCTACATACCCCGCACTATCATCATAGGCAATCATATTTCAAGAAAAAAGCGATTGCATTCTATTCAATGAGATCTCATCGGCCATCCATCTTGTGGGTAGTGTGACTGATGACTGATGACGGATGACGGACGCCGGGTAGACGTGGCCACGGGGCACGGGTGCACCCGACCCGGGTATCTACACGGGCGGGAGAAGCATACCGTGCCTTTCGCCGGGCCGGACCAATATCTCAATGTTGTCCGAGTATCGTTTCGGTTTCCCAAGGTGCCACGGACTTGCTTCTTCCAGCAGCCTATGGAGAACGAGGGGCTGTCAGGGCGGGGTGATACCGAGACGTTGCAAAATCGTAGCATCGTAACGTCAAACCCCTCTCTTTCTCTCTCTCCTCTTATTCTTCTCAACTCTTTTGGCGCTGCCACTGCCTCCTCGCCCTCACCCGGCCATCCGCCCCTTACTTCTTTCTCGCAATTGTGTTTTTTCCTGCGGGTTTCCGTTCACCTCAGGGGTACCTGTGTGGAGAGCTGTACGAAGGGTATCACCAAAGGGGTTACACGGCGTTTCGTCCTCGAGAAACATGTTGTTCGTAGTGAGACACAAGGAGCCGATGAGACATGTCTTTTGAACTTCCCCCCGCCTTCCCTGAATGTATGGGTAGCGTATGAGAATAGGACCTACACGGCGTTTCGTCCTCGAGAAACATGTTGTTCGTAGTGAGACACAAGGAGCCGATGAGACATGTCTTTTGAACTTCCCCCCGCCTTCCCTGAATGTATGGGTAGCGTATGAGAATAGGACCACGGAACAGACTACTTGAGGGTCCTCTGTCAAGATCTGGTGAAGTTGAGTAGGCAGGTATGGCCGTCTATACCGAGAACCGCCCGAGCAACCAGCAAAGGCAGAACAACCAAACAAACGTATGACCGTTTATACCTATACTCACCGTCTATCGATTCCGTTTTACTCAAAGTATAGACCAAGCCCAGCGAAACGGTGGCAGCGCTTGCATCTTACCTTGACTCAAGCGCGTAAAAGAAGCGAAGACGCGAGGCAAGAATGCATCGTCATTGATTTGCATCCCCTTTCTTCCGTAACTTCGCACCTGAACATCGGACAGAAGTATCTTGGAGACTTGCAGTAGAACGTGCCTTAGTGGAAGTGGAAATGGCACGGGGGGTGATTTACCATGCGCATCTCCCTCTCCATGTCCGCGCAATCCAGATCCGACAAGCTCACACGTGCCGCGCGCGTTCTTCTTGCATTACTCCTGCATGGGGCGAAGATCGATCGGGTCCATCTTTTCTTTTTTCCCCAAACTCTCCGCAAAGATTGAGAGAGTCACGGAGCAGCAGTTCATCTCGTCAAGCCAGTTTGCAGCAAAAGCGGGAAGAGAGAGATATCTCTTGGAGCTACACTTGTAAAGAGCTAGGTGCTAGATAGGTGCAACGGCCCAATGAAAAGATGCAACGTCAGCAATCCCGTCGACCGGACCTTCTGGATTACATCGCAAGACTCATCTTGGCTTCACCTTAGTTCCGCTTCGAGATGCGATGTCGGGAAAGGGGGGGGATAGGGGAGAGGATGTTCTCCTGCAAGAAAAGAGACGAACTGCTGCCGCTCTCTGGCCACTTTCCTTCTCCCATCCGAACTTTGCGCATCGCGGCGACGCAAGGCTAACTCATGGCTTGCATGATTTTCCCTCTCTCATTATTTTGCTGCTCACCTGCCTCCGCGATGCAACAGTAGTAGAGAAGAAACCAAGCGGACGATGCGAGGAAATTCCCATCGCCACCAGACCGTTTCTGCACCTAACAGCACAAGTGCAATTTTCTAAAGGTGAAGAAAAGGCCAGTAAGATTCCGGGAAATCGCAGTGCGCAGAACCGTTTCGCCTCCATCCACACCTTGAGACTAATGTATTCACCGGTCCTTGACCTAGATCCTGACCTTGCCTTAGCATCTCTCGCCTCCGAGCAAAGTACGGTGAGACTAACATAGACTTTTTTCACCCTTTACCTCACGGCATTCTTCTGGCGTTTTCCACCTTCTCTGTTGCACGTATACATGGGTACTCACAATTTGCGACTTACACGCCCTTCCTCGCATGGTACTCTGTATCACGCGCTGCAACAGCAGCGGCGGTAGCGGCGGCGGCGGCTCTCGCTGCCTGCAGCTGGGGGTTAGGAAGCAGCATCATGCGAACTCATGCAGGAGAAGCGAGTCGGCGTGCATACGGGGATAGAGACATCCGTGGAATGAGAGACAGATAGATGGCCTCTAAATCAACAAAACCAGTGGAAAGAAGAATCACAATGCCCAGTCATCAGCTCAAACCCGTGACGGGCTCCAACCACTGCTTCCCCCCTGCCCTGCCTACCTATCCACTGGGCAACTGCAACGCATCTTGGCTCCCGTGAGCGCGAGCTCAAGCATGCGGCCTCGAGAGTGTCTGAGACACGCATACGAGCGACGACAGGTTGGGTGGGTGGGTGGTGTTTCCTCCCCTGTTCTGGTGTGCTTCTGCCCACGATGGAAGTGATGACTCCAATGGAAAAGCCCACGCGAGGAAGAGCAGGATTCGGTTTCTGCCCCTGTAATACGTCTGCCTGTCATCTTACCACCTTTATCCTCCATCATTTATTCTTATTTTGGAAGACGCCTAGATGGTCTTGGTGCGACTCGTTGACATATTACCACCATTATGACCACCACATGGGACATCTCACAATGCCAAAGAAATACGGGAGAATCTCAGTTGTCCCTTCTTGGGGGTGCCCTACCTCACCTTACCTTACCTCGCTTCACATTTCCTCTCACACCAAGTCTCCTTCCATGACACAAGTGAGCTCATCGAAAAAAAGACAAGCTACTCTTGGCTCTAAATCTCCAAGAAAACCTGCAGGAAGAAAAGAAATCCTGGCAAAAAGCACCACCACTACCGCCATCTACATCCTTCCCATCCGCACCGCCCGAGTGACTACTCTAGCGTTGCGCGTACAAGTGTGGCTTGCCTCTCTCTCACACTCACGGCACATCTTTCCGCAGCTCTTACTTTGTACCACCGCGCGAAACAAGGCAGTTCGGCGGCGCTACCCTGTAGCCTATACTTCTTCAGCCGGAAACAATACCATTCTTCTCAAAAAAGCTCTCGGGTCTAAATTCTCAACCTAATGCAATTCACTTGCCCCAAGCTCCAAGCTCTCTCTCTGTGCTCACCCAAGCTCCCCTTTCCCAGCCACCCAGATTCATCCCCGCCTCCGCGCCTCCGCCTCCAGACTTACACCCACATCCTCAGCCCGGCCTCAACTCACCTTAGGTAAGGAAGGTACTCCGTACGGATAGGTAGATTCTAACCAAAGTCCGCGAAAAAGTCCGTCTCTTTGAACCTGCATGTCACTAGTATAGAGGCAGCAGAATATCTCAGCCCACCCAGTCCAGTCAAGTCCCCCCCTTCGTTCGCACCCAGCTCTCACGCGCCGCCCCGAGCAGAATAAGCTGCATTATCAACCAATCCCACATCTCCAAAATCCCTCCCCGCCCATCGTCTTGCCCTTCTCATGCGACCAACGCTAACGCCCGCATGCCTCCCACCGCTACCACCCCGATCCTCACATACTACTCTTGCTGTGCCTCAAGCAGACGGGGGGACATCTCGCACTATTCCCGGATTTCAAAAATGGGATCATCCCGAAAGTGGAAACTGAACCTTGCTGGTAGGCAGGAAAATACCATGATGAAATTCTGGTCACTCACCCACTTCTCTCGCATCTCAGTGGTCAATATTCTTCAACACTAACGATCCCGAGAGTCGTGCCAAAACCACCAAAAAAACAAAAACTACGACCCTGACCAACGGAAACAAGTCACACACTCACACGCACACTTCGGAAACCGGGAACGATCATGTACCCTTCCCTCTCTCACCCTCCACTCTCCACACCTCGCACCACCCAAGCCACAACCCCATCGGACCTTACAATGCCCATCTTATCACGTACACTCCCAAAACGAGAACCAATAGATGGTCTCATTCGCCTCTGCGTTCAACATGATTTCCCTGTGTACATCGTTTCGTTTTGTTCGTCCGTTCCCGTTGCCCCACCCTCCCCGTGCTCATCCTTCTCGCCGTCCATATCTAGGCCGTCACGCTTCTATCCTCGCCCTCATTCCAAGTTTCCGGACCGGCGTTGGCTTGTTTGCTTTCGTAACTTCGTCCCTCCATTACCGTCCCCTCAACGAACTCTACCCCCAATAACGAGCCCTCCAGACCGAGGAGTGACCCAAAAACGTTGATCATCTTAGTAGAACCGTTGTTATATGGCACGGTAACCCGCCATCGCCCCCCCCTCGGCAGGGAACCCACCTATGTACCTAGGAACTTACACTACCATACTGGGTACTCAGCCTCTAGGCTTGGTCCGCATTGGGTGTTGCCTAGCCAGTTTCCTCCTCTCCCAAACGTTGACCGAGAATCCCTTTCCCTCCCCATGCGTCAAAAAAGTTTCCTGCGCTCCTCGCGGATCGGATCAACCGATCAGCGACGCACGAGGGACGATGACTCCTTGCCAGTCTTTCACTTCAACCTCACCTGGGGCCGGGGGGTTAACGAGTAGTCAGTAACCTGTCAGTGTCATCTGTTCCCATGGTCGGCTACTGCGCGTCACATCATGGCAAAAGCATAGATAGGCATGTTTTCAAGGAATGGTAAGTAAGGCAATGAAGAATCCTTGGTATCTTTGTTGGAGATTTGCAAGTAGCTACATGAATAGAATGATCTCCCCCACGCCAAAGGAAAGGCGAGGGGGCAAAAACATGAAGAAGATGGGGGCCAACGGCAGGCTGTCTGACTGCTCATTACCCGAATATCCAAATGCTCTCTCTCTCCTAGTGTCTGTCCTGGTGTTTGTGCGCGTGTGTGCCGGTACTAGTGTCGGTTTATGTCGCAATAAGATGTGCAGAAAATATCAAAGAAAAAAAAGGCTTTCGTAGAAGTAGTGACGTGGTAAAAATTTCGTTTCGTTTGATTGTCATTGATCATGAGGTTCGTTTCGACTCATTTCCGTTTCCACGTTTCGTCGCGAGACGCTTTCTCGTTTCTCGTCAACAATCTGCAACTTCGTGCGGTGCTGTCCATCTTTCCAGTCAAGGCCAAAAAAGGAAATAAAAGGAAATAAAACAAAAGGAAAATCAGACAAAAGAACAAAAGCAACATGATCCCCAACCGAACACCACCCCCCTCCCCTATCCTCCGTCTCCTGTGAGATGACGTCCCTCATTGTGTGAGACCTGCTCTCCTCCAGTAACCCAAGATTCCATGTGACCACCCTCCATTTCCAAGCCAACCCCGTTGCCCCCATTGTACAAAGGTTGGAAAAGCTTGGCCGTCCCGTGTTCCCATGCTCTTCTCCCCTGTCCCGTCCCTCCTTGCCTGAAAAGAGCAGTAGATACCAAACTAGATATGTGAAATACAGAGATATCAGACTAAACCCAGAATGCTCGCTCGCTTGCTAGATACCGGAGGGAAATGGCGTCCCAAAATGAAAATCACAAAAATAAAGCGGGTGGAAAGTAAGTATGTCCGAAGAGCTTCGATCATTTGGCGGTGAAAAGAGGATTGTTTGGTGCGTGAGCAACAATGTCTGGGGTTTTGTCCGCGGGAGCGGTAGAAGTGTATGATGAGCTTCGGCTGAAAGGAAAAAAAGATGGTTGGTAGAATGATATTTTGAGCTAAGAGTTGAGATTCGTTGATGTGATCATGGGATCGTAATTTTTTTGGTCTTCGTTATTCGTTAGCGCCCGCTTTCGCGCTGTTGCTTTCGGACACCATTTTGGCAAAGTTTCTGACGACTTCGCTGGGGATCTGATCCCAAAGTAGTGATCTAGTGTAGACGTCGGCTGCGGATTGCTTGTTGGTCCGCATCGCTGAGAGGGCATCGGCAAGGTTCTTGCGTCCTTGGCTGGTGGTGCGCTCGGGGGCGTTGTTGAGGAAATCCTGCGAGCTGACGCCGTTGTACTGAGCAGCCGAGAGTCCAAAGAGTTGCTCATTTGCTTGTTCATCGGTAGGCTGGGTGAGAGAGTCGCCAAGCTGGCCGAGCATCGAAGGCGCGACACCGCCCATTGAGGTGTCACCCATAGGCATGGCCGAGTTGTCGACCCACGAGCCGCCGGAAGGCTGAGGAGCGAGAGCGTTGAGGGTGTTGGATGCTCCGTTCACGCCGGCATCCTTGAACACGTTCTCGAGGAGGGTGGCAGCTTCAGCGCGGACGTCCTCGGAGACCCGGGGAATGGCGGGGGTAGAACGGCTGGAAAGAACAAAGGCACCGACGAGGAAGAGCATGAAGAGAATACCGCCCTGGGAGGAAGACTTCTCGGAGTCGACGGGGAAGGAAACCTCAGCCTTCTTGGCCGGAACCACCTGGAGTTCCTGCTTGACTTCCTGCTCCATGGGGTACTCGCCGAGGAAGTTGACGTTGTCCCAGCTGCCCGGCATGGTCATGCCGTCCATGTCGTCGTAGCCAGATACATAGTTGTTGTTGGCAGGAGCAGTCATGGCGGCGCTCTCGAGACGCTGGACGTGGTCGGTAAGGACGCTGACCTTCTTCCGGAGCTCGCCGGTCTCGATCGTGTGGGAGCGGATCATCTCCTCCTTCTCCATGGTGAGTGACTCGATGTACTCCTGGTTGAACTGCTTCTCTCTCAAAAGCTGCTCCATCTGTTTCCTCATGTCGGCCATCTCTTCCTCCAGATCGGTGAGCACAGCGGTGAATTGTTTCTTCTCATCTTCAAGTCGCTCGGTGTGTTGTTTCTTTCTCTGGCGAGAGTCAAGGCTGTTGCAATGTTAGTGAGTGGAATTGAAGGGAAGTGAGTGTGCACTTACGCTGCCTGGCGATTCCTCAGCAGTCGCTTTTGCTGCTTAAGCTCCTTGATCTCTTGCTCATCGGTGGACTGAGCGATGAGGTGATCGATGTTGCTGAGATTGCGCTCGGCCGGGATATCGAAGCGGGCGTTCTTCTTGCGGATGCCGTCACCCCTTCTCATGTCGTTGTGTGAGCGGATGGTAGGGCTACCAGGGCGCATCTTCTTGGCCATAGATTCCGCCTGGCCGATCCATCCCTTTTGCGGGGAAGTTGGTATGGACTGGTTGCCTGATCCGATGGGTGCGAACATGTTGATTTGACCGGTGGGGTTGGTGAAGGGCGTCTGACCCGGGACAGGTCTCTGGAACATGGGAGCACCATTGTCGTATTCAGCCGGCATGCCATCGAATTGCTGGAGAGGGGTGCAAGAGCCAGAGGTATTGCTCAGAGACCATCCGTTGCCTTGAGGGGCGAAAGGGGAAGGCTGAGCATGATCTAGGCGCATGAAGGGGTTGTTGTTGTGTTGCTGCTCGATGAAGGGGTTGTTGGATGGCACGGATTGCATATCGACCGACTGCCAGTCCTCCGTCTTTGGTGAGAAGAGAGAGCCGCCAACGGCGAAGGAATCTCTTCTGCTATCAACCATGGGAGGCGACATTTCCAGGCCCGAGTCGAGTGCGCTGTGATCCAAGATAGTTTCGTCGAGGATGCTGTGGTCCTCCTCTTCGTAGTACTTTTGCGCTTGTGTTGTGTCTACAGTCAAAGGTGTCGGTCTGTAGAAGGACGGCATCTGGTACGTTGAGACCATTTCTGGTTATGTGAAATCAGCAGTCGAGTGTGGACTGCGATGTTGTGCTGTGATGGCAATGGTGCCTATTTTTCCAATCTTGCGAGGGCGTGTTAGTCGGGTGCAGCACAGCGGTGAGGACGGTTGGTGGCCCAGGGTTTATTTTTGGGTGTGAGTGAGATGTGGAGACGGGTGCTGCGCACTCTGAGAATTGCAGACGAGGGTATGGAGGAGTATGCGCTTGGGCTGCTGTGTATTGAGCGGCAAAGATGCATGTATTGCGCAGCGGGAACTTGCAGTCAGAGGCGAGAAGCGAGCTTTTTGTGCGAGACTCGTTCGGAGGGCCAAGCAAGACGTACGCGGGTTGAGTTGAGGGCAAGAAAGTAAGGGAAAAAGCAGAGGGCGGAGGTGGTCGAGCGTGATGAGTGATAAGAGAGGTTGGTGGGGATGGGATGAGAGGATGTGCGGGCGGAGGGTGGTCGGAAAGTTTTAAAGGGCAGTGCGTGCAGGACGACGAGGTAGAACAACGGCTCTGAAGGGGAGAAACAGACTCACAGGCTTTTAGGGAATCGGTTATTCTTCTTGTTCGAGTGTTACGGCGCTGCGATGCACTCCAGATCTTGTGGCGAGGGAAAAAGTAGTTGGTCTGGTCAGATACACAGGGCGGGGGAAAAGCCTTGAGTATGTGTGTGTGAGTCGAGTCGATGAAGCAGCGTAGATGAGCTGCGTCGAGAGTGAGACGACGTGGGGAAGAGGGATGATGGGACAATAATAAACAAATGTGTGTTGCAACGATAGGGAAACCGTCTGAAGGATGGGGTGCCGAAAGTATGTATATGTATGTAGGTATGTACGGTTGACGCTGGATGGGCGAGCGAGTGCGGATAGTGTCTGTATGAATGTGTGCGTGTGAGTACGCAGTATGGTGTGTGTGTGTGTGTGTGTGTGTGTGTGTGGTGTGTGATCTCGTTTTCTTGGTGGGCGGGCAAGGTAGAGCTGGAGGAGGAAGAGGGAAGGTTTTGTATTTTCAACAGCAAAGGCGGCACTTCTGCGCGATTCCCGGGATGAGGTACCTGGTTGGAAACGGTGGCCGGGGGTGAGGTACTTTGCTTGGCTTCGAGAAGGATACGGTGGACATGGGACGGGGGGGAAGGAGGAGAGTCGCAGTAAGGCAATGTAAGGTCGCGGGTAGTGTGGAAGGTCAGGCTGGCCCGGGTCCAGATCCCAGTCCAGGGTTAGAAGGGCAGTGGGGAAAAGAACAGAAGACTGAGGGAATTGGGATTTCACCTCAGACTGGCTACCTATGGGAGCTTACGGAGGAAGAGGGTCACCACGGTACGGTACGGTAAGGTACGGACGGTATTGACGGCGCGAGAACAGCAAGGACGGGAGGGGGAGCGAGACGGAGACAGTAGAGTGGAGCTGGTGAGGCAGAGGAAGGAAGGAAGCACTCGTACCTACCTTACCTAGAGTCTACGGATACCTTGGACTACGGTAGGAAAGAGCAGCCCGTTGCGGGTGGGATGCGATGCGCATTGGTGGGTGTGTGGTCACTTGTTTGTGGAGGGTGGCCGAGGATAGGGACGGGGTGGGTGTGTGGTCAACGGGCCCAGTCAGCAAGAGAGAACCAGGCAAGTTTTCTGACGAGTGGGAGCGGCCATACTCTTCGGCGATTATAGGACGAGCAAGATAGAAGAGTGAGCCGAGGGGGAAGAGAGAGAGCGAGATCATGATGCCAAGGCGAGATAAGTCCTCTTGTCCCTGTTCCCTTTAGGTAAGATACTTTCGGGGCTTCACGGCGAATACCTGCTAGCCCATATTCGTCTTGTAATTCTGTGTGCGGTAATAGTATGCCTTCTCGCATTGGTTTGTTAATACTATTCGGAAATTCATCCGTAGCCAGTGTCTTTTCACAATGTCTTGTGGCGATGATTTGATCCAAATCTGGCGAAACCGAGAGAGCCCTGAGAACGGCAAACGGATGGGATGGACACTACTTACTTTTGCGACGGACAGACGGCGCCGTAGAATGCTTCCTTGGAACAAGACAAGGACGAGACATGGGGCGCGGGCAGAGTGAAGGAGCATTGAGCAGGGGTTCCGTTTGGCTTTAGACCGCCTCGAACTCTCCTTCTCACCTCACTGACTCTATCAAACTTGATAGACTTGCTTGTCAGTGTCTACTGCCTTCTCTCGGTACCCAAGACTCAAGAGAAGGCAGCAAGCTAGGCGGGCTAAGGTACTGTTCGGCGTACTAAACTAGGGGCAATGTACCTGGAGGCCGAGAGGGACTGGTTTAGAACAAGACCTAGGGCTTGCGAATTGCAAAGAGACTCTGGGGATTGATAGGAACGCGGCGCGCGCGCTCAGGGCGGGTAGAAAAGGGCAAGGTACTAGCCAATACAGAGAAGAGAGGGTCACGGAAGGGAAGTTGAAAGATGGACGATTGCTCAAGCCAAAGCGAAACCCAACCCCACGTCCAGCCGATGCGCTCCGACTGGATTCTCTGTGCGCTCTCTCGGCCCAGTGGCTCACTGACTGGGGCCCTTTTGGGGGGCGCAAGTTGGGAAGTGTGGCCGGGTATGCGTCTGTCAGTGTAGGACCGCTGGGGGAACGACGGCGGCCGGCCGGCGAATGAGGTCAGAGGTGAGCAGGATGACAAGAGATTCAGAGTTCTGGGCCTTTTGGGTCGTGACCTCGATGCGCCGGGTCTGGGTGGACGGGGATCTTGCCGGAAGACAGGCGAGCGGCGGGCGGGTCTTGTCAAGGGAGAGGGAGACGACAATGAGAGGCCCGGTGGAGGGCTTTACGGCTCGGCCGCAAGCCGGAACCGCCCAATAGAAGGCAGAAAAAAAAAAAAGAAGCTTTTTATTTTTTTATTTTTTTCTAAAAAAGAAGCAGATGGATGGGAAGGACCTGAGCGAAGGGAAACTTGATGAGCGAAAATGGAATGGCGGTCACGGCTCGCAGACGGTGGGGGTTGGGCTTGCAGCTTGGGCCATTGTCCGTTCGGCAAATCATTGTTCAGTGGCTAAGGAAGCACCGAGAGAAACAGGGAAGGTGGCGTGGGACGGCAGTGGACGGAGGGCTCAAGCCTGAACGGAAGGATACGGAATGCATTGACCGTTGGACAAGGGAGACGGGAGGGATACCGTTATGCCCGAGATGTCGTTGAGGGTAAACGGTCAACGTGGGGAGGTAAGTGGACTCCTTCCAATCCACGTCTTACTATCTCCTCAGGCACCACAGTTCCTACCCTCATTTGACGCTCTAACAAATAGCAGAACGGCCAAGGATGACGTACCTTCGTACCTTGATGGGCGAAGCCATGGTGATGACCAAAAACGGAAGGAAAGATACAAAGTCAAGAGGTGAGATGAGTCCTTGACTCCTTTCAGTGGTGAGCACACGGTACACCCCAAAGGACCCTTGCGAATAACATGACGGCCCTGGCGGTTCTCGCTCCTTGCCTCCCGCATCCACTGGTTCAGACTGGACGAGAGCGGACTCACGGAGAGGGCAGCTCCAACAGGTTGGGCATCGACGGCCGCTGTCTCTCGCGCGATAGGCTCACTCACTCTCACGTTATTGATACCCAAAGGCCCCAAGAATAACCCCCCAAACTTACCCCCCGAGACGTGACCTATGAAGCCCGTTGCAGCCCTCCTGCATCCACTAGCAAGCCACTGTTTCTCGTCTCCGGGTTCCTATTGCTCGGCTCTCAGTGGGGTGATCACACGGGTCTGGACACTGGCTACGAGGCAAAGGCGGTACACTGGGGGATTCACTGTGAAGCGTGGATGGAAATGGAAACCCTTCCTCCCGTTCCGTATCAGATCCCATGGAGATGATGCTATCGACTGTCATGTTCAGCTCTCGCCAGTAGCGCAGTCGCTCCAGTGTCATTGCAGCCAAATCAGATAACGAGGCAAACCATGACAAGGCGAAGCACAACCTAATCGAAAGGAGCCACACTGAGCCAGGGAGTCTGACCTAATCTAGTATTGGCGACGATATCAGTACCTACCTTTGGGCTCAGAGATAGAGCATGACGAGTCCCCATTCAGAGTCGTATCGTCTAATATTCCCCAGATCATCTGGTCCGGGTCGCGACTCACCTGTTCAAGCCTCAACCACCAAAAAATGACACGAGAGATCCAGCAGGAAGACAATAGCCCCCTCCCGATCCGATCGATCACTCTGCCATCCTTGGCCGAAATGCCGTAGCCGTAGAAGTTTTCTCTCTTGTTCCTAACCAACTTCCTTGTCTTCACTAGAATGCCCCGTTTGTTCTCCCGGGCCCGCGAGACACAATGCGCAATTGGCCAACCCCGTCCGTTGTGAAGTCGGGATGATGCTCGTACCCTCAGACGAAATTCTCAGCCACATCCCTGGAATACGGAAAGCCACCCATCGCCTATATTTCGGACGCATCGACCGACGGACAAAAGTCAATTCTGACATCGGGAGGTACACAGGCGCAGAAAGGCCATACGGGTAGAGGGGCAAGTTTGACACAACCAGGACAAAGGAGCAGGGGATCAAAAAGTCGGTGGCTGGGAAAACAACATCCGGGAAACCTCTCCAACGCCAGCCGGTGATGCCCAAGCAACAACGTCCAACTCCGGCCAGCCACTCAGCCTGAAGAGACGCGTGAGCCACCAGCTCCACTGTGCTTCATGGCCGCATACACAGCGGCCCATCACCAACTTGAAGACCCTCATTCTGCTTTGTCGGTGTGCCACGGTGCTTGTTTCGGGCCTCGTGCCCAGAGCAGCGGATGAATGGAACGAGGAGGTAGGTAGGCAAGGTGAGGAAGGTACCTCGAGGCCCGCTCTACCATATTGGAGGAACATCCGTCAATAAGGTACGTCTTCGTCTCTCGTCACTTTGTGAGGTGTCCCAGAGGAGGAAGTGGTGAGGAGTAGACGAGGCCATTGAGTGTACGCAGCACGCAGTATGTGTTTGCTCCCCAATCCCCCGCCAGTGATTCATCACACGCGTTTCGCGTCCTGAAGCGCGCCAGACGACCGGATCAAGACCAGCGAGGTGCTCAAGGAGTCGCGACGTCACGGAGATGCATCGGCGACGTGAATCATGCGCGACTCCACTGATGGACCCCGGGGGACCACAATCTGGTGAATCTGCAAAGGCGAGATGCTGCACTTCCACATCCTCGCATTGAATCCGGACGCAGTGTAGTGTAGCGAATGGAGATGTGCTTGCTCTCTTTCCTCTTCCTACTAAGTTTACCGGCCTTACCTAATGAACGGATACCTAGATACTTACCTAGGTCGGCTGAGCTAAGAAATTCCTCCGCAGCTGCGTTTCCCATCCCAACCCGGCAAGTGGATCCCCCGTTGTCGTTGTCGTCGGCGTCGTCTCCTCACCTTCTGGAAAAACTCGGCCACCGTGAAAGCCGGAAGGAAGGGACCTGCCATGCCTGTGCACGCCTGGAAAGAATGGAAGGTGGGAAGAGGTCGGGTGGGCACCTGGCGACAATGGGAAACGCGATGGCGCCGTTTGAAAAGTGGAGACTATACTTAGACGACCCGTTAATGGACCGACGCCGTCCCCGTCATGAACCAATCGTCCAAGTGAGGCGAGCGAATTCTGCTACCAAGACGCGAACGAAACTTGCGACATCCACTGTTCACTCTCGATTGCTGTGAAGCCCAAGTCCACTCTACTGCGTACGAATACCTCACCAACCAAAACTTGAACGGCCCTTGGCCAGATCGGTCCCCTATTGTCAGATCAGCTTGGCTCTCTGTCAGTGGTTACTGGGAGAGAAACCACTCGATGAGAACATCACCCACCCGACAGCCGCGGATACCTGACCATGCCTCCGCCGTGCCTGAGGTACTTCGACTCTAGTCAACCCAAGTCCACGCCGAGGTCAGCGACCATGGGAGCTGGAGCCGAGCGCCGACTTCTCATACGCCATCTCCCCTCGTTACCTCTCACGCGTTCCTGACGACGGAGCCCAACCTATGGCCTAGACCTGGCCAACTTCGGCCGACGACCCCTTCATCGTCTGAACGACTCCATGTATACGACTTACAGCTTCAGACCGCCAAAACCGCCATTGGATGTGCTGCGTACGGTGTGCGACACACCTCTCTTCGACGGCATCTCATCCCAATACGCCCAACGCCCGCATCGCGCCTGTCACTTTCGACTCGGATTGTCCACACGGAAAGCTCCCCTGTCTCTTCACCAATGATCGCGTTGCCTCATCGTACTTCTCATGCGCCTTGCATGAACAAGAGTCTCACTTAGTCGTCATCTTGTTCCCCGGCCACGACCACAGCCCTTCATTTCCCAGAATGCCCACCGCCTCGCCCTTCTCTCCTGCCAAGTTCTTATTCTTGGAAGCCGGCGCGGCTGACATCGGAATCGTACCCA